CAATAGAGGAATACATCAAAAGTCTGATACGGCCTCGGTGCTCGGCCCCAATCTTGGGATGATTGAGAGATGCACTCTCATACTTGGCTCCATACATCAATATTACCATTTCCTGGATGGTGGATGAAAAGAACCAACAATTATCCTACATGTTGCCCCGGATCAAGTGACCATAACGTAGAAAGGGCTAAACGTTGACACTTACTCTGGTCGACTTGTACCCAAGAGATTCTGCCACAACGGTATGCAATATCCGTGCGATCGTAACGAGAGGAGCCGGGGTCGGAAGGACCATAATGGCTTCAATTCCGGCCTCATTGTTCGTGGCATCCAGAAAGTGCTCGAGTCGACCAGAGATAGCAACCTACAAGTGCTGCATCTTAGCTCTCGTTCAATGGCCGTATATCCCACAACACACAGTATCTACACATTCCGACTTCCTGGATCTCGATCCAAGCGAATGTAAAAGTCTCTTCCACAGGCCTGGGTAACGTGAAGGATAAGAAATCGATATGGGACGCCATGAAGGTCCCATAACGTCCAATCGACATAATATTGGCATCGGCGGCGCGAGGGCTCTTAACCACGCTTTCGCAGAATGTTCGCACGGAGCAAGTTCTGTACGGCTGAGGGTTCAAGTCTTCGGAGTGGGCACCCGCTCCTGTGACGCTTGCCACGTGTGTGGCCGATGACGCACGAAGGGTTGGGATAGCAGCAAACACAGCAAGAGATGAAGCCATGGAAAATCGGTTACTCGGTCGGCTGGGAAGGGACGGCACCTCTGCGGATGAAGGATCGACACCAGATGGGCCAGGCTGGATTGGAAACTCAATCTCCCCATCAAGCTGTTAAGCCAGGTGAGTAAAGCCCAGCTCGATCAGGAAGTTCATTCTCACATAGACAAGGAAATCTTCGACCAGGGTCAGCTGTGGAAATCCTGGGGCCTAATTAAGTTTAATGGGGGTGCACATGGAGATCGAAGATGCAACTGGACGTCGGAGCTAGTAGCGGCGTCGTAACAGAAGAACCCCTTTCCTATCTGAACGCCGCAGTAGAGATAGAAGCAAAGGACAGGAACTGTCTTCGATGCTCTTTGCCGTTGGGTAGAATTTGATGGGTCGTTGAGAGGGTTAGGAGTCTTGGTATCGTCCACCGACACGGGTGGGACCGGTGACTGGCCAGGGACGAAACGTGTGTGGAGGCAGGATGCCGCTTTGTTGCCTGTTCGCACTGCCACACATCCTTCCAGCGTTCGTTCAAGTGTACATATATCTCACATAAACACATCATAAGCTAGTCTCCAAAAATGGAACTCCCGCATTCAACTATCCGGTTCTGCTGTCCTCAAGGCCAAATGAATGCTATGGAATCCCACAGAACCATCAGGCACTACACTCGTGGTCAAATTACATGAAGAATGCCCCTTGATAGCTCTGACCCGATACTGGCCAAGCTACACACACGCCTCGAGCTCTCTTCACCGAGCTGATCTACACCATACTCAGGCTTAGGCTGACATTGGCACGGTTAGCAGGAAACCGTGATTCAAAGTTTTCACCGGTGTGTCAAAGAGCATTCTCTCGGGCACGAGGATAATATTGATGTAGGATGAAAACTAGAGAGGTGCATTCCGATCGACTGATTTTCGACTCACGATATTCGATATCCCTTCCCCCTTCATTGCGACGTCTCAATACAAAGGTTTCTCGATTATTGCGCTTCAGGGCCCGCAATGGGGGATGATCTTCTAGACTTCGTCATCAACCATGTGTTCATGCCTCCCAAGTTGCCCCAAGAGGCGGATGAGAGTCCGGAGCGCATAGATTTTCTTTTGTCAACTATTCGCAAGAGCATGAAGCTTTACAGACAGCAGCATGCTGCGCCTGAGCACCAAGCATTGTGGGATTCATTATTGAAAATGGTGGGTACATTGCGACGAATCAACATAGACCCGAGGTTGGAATCAGCGAATGCATCAAAAGAAGGAGCACTGGAGGTAATGTCACTAGATACAAGCTGGAGCCGAACAGTGGGAGTAATATCTCTGGATGCAGATACAATCGCCATTTTTGTCCATGCTCAAAACGCGGGTGTGATCATCCGTTGTGGTGAGGAGGAAACAATTTTCGAAATTTTCGAAGCATCAGCGATGAATACAGCCGTGATGCGCTGCACAGGGAAGCTTATCCGCTCCTTTCCTGGACCTGCAATTGCCCTTCGAAACAATGTTATGCAGGATCCGGATTTTCTAGAAGAATTGGCCGCATTCCTAACCCAGATGTACGGGGGCCAACGTGAGGATGAGGGCATGGTGGACGGTGATCAACTGCTGGACGAGGACATAGTAGATAACGATTATTTGCAAGATGAGGACACAATGAATGGTGATCAGCTGCGGGAAGAGGGCACTATGGACGGCGATCCACCGCTGGATGAAGACACAATGGACAGCGATCCATGGGAACGCGAGAACGGCACATTCGCATTCGCACCCCGATGGCGATGGCGTTCCACGAATAGGCGCACAACCCATCCGAAGTACATCACTGAATTGCTGACCGGGATACTCCGTGGACTAGGAGAGCCTGCCGACATTCCTCGCATCCAGAAGAGGACATCGGACGATGTTTTGCAGCATGCGGATGATATTGTCCCATGGAGGCGCAGCTCCCTCTGGCTCGTTGTCCGTGTTGCCTTGCAAACTACGATTCACCGAGGCACTTCGAACATGAACGAATACAAGTCTTTTATGATACTCTTTCTGGCCAAGATTCTGCGGAGCGGTGTTGAGAACCGCTTACCGGGACATATCCTCTATTGCATGCGTGCCAAACTCAGCCGCCGACTCTTTAAAATCCGATCATGGGCAGCTCCGTCTCTGGTCACACTTGCCCACGAGGTTGCGCTTGATACTGAAGAACTGCTCCAAGATCGATGGAAGAGCATTCAGGATGCGCACGTGCGGGCAGCCAAGTGGGCACCAAACGAGCTAGATGTTATTGGGGACACTAGCCTCAACTTGAAAAATTGCAGGTCTTACATCAGTGCTGCTCTCGTCCCGGGGATTCCCGCCGATCCTAATGCTGCATTCCAATCACATCATCCACGATTATTCAATAATCTCTTTGACGACGAACCCGGGGTTTTTTCGGCAGCAGTAAAAGCCAATGGATTTGTTGCGCTTTGGGATTTTGAGCGTTGCGTAAAAAATCACATTGACGAATGGGTATCTCAGCAAATCTCCGACCACAACTGCGAAAGTGCTTGCGACTTAATTTCTCATTACATGACGACATACGCCGATGAGGCCGGGGATTTGTACAAAGGGGCACCAGCGGAACAGTCCATTATGCTCCTCACGCTTTTTGAGTTGTGGATGGCACTCGACATTTTGGCAGCGACTATCTGTCCCCTCTTGAAGGATTATTCGCCTGAGGTTCCACTGACTCTATATGAGGGCCTCCTGCTTTCGAAAGCCGAACCGTTGGAACGCATCTCGAGGATCCAGGCGTACCTGCGCAAGCGGTATCACGAAGCTGGCAGTGACCCTCGGTCGGTCTTCTCAGAAGTTGTCGACGCGGAAACCTTCGCAGTCAGATTTTTCGATTCGTCCCCGTCGCTCCAGGATCTTAAGAGCACCATAGAGCAGCAAGCGATGATGAGTCAACAACTTCGCGAGCTTCACTTGCTGAAGTTTGAATATAAGAAAATAATGAAACAAGCAGGTACTGAATATTGGGAAATAATGAAACGAGCAGGTACTCGAAGAAGGCAAACGTTCTCATGATTAGACATTAAACTAGATCTTTAGGCTCCCACACTGTGGATCGCATGAGGTCCTGGCACCACCCAGAATCTTGCGAAGAATGCCGTTTCAAATGGCGGGCAAGAGCCCTGAGGACAGTTATTCGCGAATGGCCCCTTCCACAAAAACCAGTACGAGCCAAAATCATTGTGTTTGAACGAGCAGTTCCTAGGGTTTTCAAGACTTGGAGGGAGACGACTTATTGGCTTCTCCGTGACATCTGTACGTCGAAGGAAGGAAGGACACTTACCACGGGGGAATCGTATATCCGCTCAGGCTCACGGAAGTCCCTCATCGGTAAAGAACGTAGCGTCCCAAATTCTCAACAACGAATATCGTTAGCACCGGAGGTGGAAATCCCAGACAAGGAAGGCGGTGTCTCTCGCACGTATACATCTTCCTGTCGGCTGTGGGACAACAACCATCACAGATGGATATATCCTCCATCTGGTTACTGCGATCTGAGCGACAGAACGTCCATCCGGATACCGGAAGAGTCTCCATATGCTTCCTTAAAACGCTTCGCGTTGGGAACATCCCACACCTCGAACGGAGTTCTTGCAAGCCAACATGAATGTCCCCCTTCGCTTAGCCTACGCGGGTTCATCGCCTTTGGTTCGTTGCGCGCTGGAGCCCGGTTGCAATGGTGCAATATTGCCCGAGAGATTCCCTCCGGAAATTTACGTTTTCAATGCGAGGAGGTGTATGACCTCATCTCTCAGGCCGTGTGCCAAGTCGGACGCCTTTCCAGCGATGGCATTTGGGAATGTCACCAGGTTTTACAAGAGGTGCCATTCGGTAATGTGTTATTGAACGTCCTTGAACAGCTGGGGACGGATATAGAGGGGAACTGGCGTCAGGGTATCACAGCACTGGGTATCACTACAGTAGCTTCTCGACTGCTGGTCTCGGCTGTGGCACAGCCGATCATCAACAGAACGTACAAACTACTCCAGAAGATACGAGACACCACTTTGCGCTGGTTGCACGAACTTCTGGCACTTCAATCACACGCTGGAACTGAAACTGAACAGGGGAGATATCGGCGAGCAATATGTCAAATAGCTGCGGTTTGTAGGAGCTCATTTGATGTCGATGCGTGCCATGCTGGCGAACTCCTTCGAACTCCGGAAGATGTTGCCATATTCATTGAATGTGCTATCATCCTTTGTAGCCACTGTCCCCAAGAAACCCTCACTAAGGCAGACCCTCATTTGCATCGGTTACTTCTCCGAGACAAGCGCCTGTCCTGCAGGATGGAAGAACTTCTTGTTACCCGCATCCAGGAAAGGGGGACCATGCTAGGTATTAACGGGGCAATATCAGCTGTTTGGAGTGGTATCGATCCGGCATGTTGCTGGGCAAGGCTACCAAGGCCTAACGACCGTTGGTTGACCACTACCGTAGATGGTCAAAGGACACAAAACGTTCATTTCAACGTATTAAGTGGCGCTTTGCTCATTGATGGAAAACCGCCTGGTTGGTTGCCATCTGACATTCGTGGGCATTCGATATACAAAGAACTCTTTGGTGCAGTACGGGACTATTCTCCACCCATAGTAAGATTCGTCGATTCACGGTTCATTTGCAGAGAAGCCCGGAAGTTGTTCCATCGGATATGGAAGACATGGACTATGTTAGCAAGGCTCATATGTTCTACGAGTCTCAGTTCGAAACCAAGGATACTGACGAGGTTCGTCGAGGGAGATGAAGGAATCGGGCTTGACTCATTCTCACCATTAAACAGACAATTCACTTTGGGTGGCGAGATGGAAGGCCCATTCTACGAACCAGATCCCCTGCGCTTGATGGGAAGAACTATCGGGTCTTGGAATTATTACCACGTGAAATCTTTCAAGGGGATCTACCGTCTATCCTGGTGACGGAATATTTTCATTGGATGGAGTTATCTACTTGTCAGATTGAGCTGCGGCCTAAGAAGGCACCCTGGACATCCTCCCAATCAAACTGGCACCTCCGTCGCACTGCATGCTCCACATGGGTCATGGATAAAGGGACCTCTGTCAGGCTCGTTGACTGTCAAAGCCGCACAGGGGAGATGATTCGTGCTATCCTTCATCCACTTGAACCTGAAGATAACATTCTTATCACAATGGAAAGGTCGTCAATGCAAGAATTGCGCATCGATCTTCCCCGAATCCAGCTCTCCTTCGTCCTGAAGGGTGGAAAGCTTCATTCATCGAACTTTCCGGGTTTCGAAGTAGATAGTAATCAATCAACAGGCACAATGCTGGGCCTCCGCAGTCAGTTGGTTTTGCGCCGCAGGGGAGATATCGCTCCTGGCGTGGAGCTTAATTATTCGAGGCGCGTCATAATCCCGACCGGGGATGTGTCTATCGCAAGTGACGGAGACCACGTCACGGTAACGATTAATAATTCGGGATCGTTGCACGTCAAATATTGTGATTATGACGTTGATGTCTTACTGGGTCGTCTGGTTGGAGATGGGAGCTTGTTCAGCACATTATTCCAGTCACTTCTTCATGCCGTTACTAGTTACTGCTTACCTGACCCTCTAACGTCGTTGCCAGGAGTCGAGGAAGCGATCCAAATCCTTCGATCAGCACGTTGCAAATCGTTCCAAAGTCTTGGTGACTGGGAGCGGCAGCTTCTGCGTTGGCTATCGGCGTTAACGCCATCAAGGATTCGGGAACCGCCCGATGAACCGCCCGATGAGTGGCCCGATAAACGGCGTCGGGAATGGGGACGGGAACGGGAACGGAGGCGGAGGCAGCATTTAGATCGGCTTTGGGAGGGTGGTATTGGAGAAGCCGTTTGGAATAAAGCACTTAGTCCGCTTGTCCAACACGGTGCCTTTTGGGATGAGGCCCAATCTATTTTCAAATGGGTTGATGAAATGCGTGTCTTTGACCCTTCCATGGGTATTGGAGAATCGGAACGCAATTGGAGAGAACTACACCTGCTTTCCCGTGCTAGATGTCACAATGCAGTCTGGTACGGCCCTGATGTTCCATGGGGCATGCGGGGTGTAGACGTGATATATAAATCCAGGGACGAACCCAGGGACGTGGTACGTAAATCTTGGGACGCAGACAAAGGACTCGATACCACCCGTATTCGTGCCGCATCGAATGCCTCTAGCTTGGTGTACCATTGTCCTCTTCGGCTAAAGACCCCCAAAGCCCTTTTGTCTCACATGGAATCGTGGACGGAGAACATTAGAGGTTCTTCCCCCAACCACTTGTCGGATGTGCGTTTGGGATTTAGCAAGGAATGGCTGTCCCTGAGCATGCCACGCAAATGGATTCCTTTGTACAATGCCTGTCGAACGGAGGGTTGGGGAAACCATACTCGTTTCAAACTGTTGTTTAGTCTTTCGGCGCTGGGCTACTCTACTGATCGATACGAGGATTTGGTCCCTGTCTTACTTGCATTCGCACGCTACCCCGAGTTTCGTTCCATTGATCCGCCGTTGTGGCCTGAATACAATTTGCGCATGGGCTACAAACCAAATGCACCCCAACTCTATGACATCATCATGGCACCGATCCGTCCAGGCACATTGAGTCGCCGAGCATCTTCTCAAGTTTCTTTTCTTGTCAAAAAATTAATCGCTCAATGGGATCATGAACCTACAGGAGCGCCAACATTACCAAGTCTGCCGGATGGCGATGTGTGGCTGATCAACATCTCTGACGCCATGGTCAATGTGACTAAGTCGTTTGAACAGTGGTTTAGAAACTGGGAATTACGCCAGCACATTCTGGCAGTCCAGACAATATTGGACAAACACCAGACTTGGACTTCAGATGCTCCGGTTCCACCGATATATTCGTTTTCAACCTCCTTGCAACTTGCAAAAGTGAATCCGTCCATTGTATCATACAGTAACGTCTTTCTCCGACAACCTCCGATTCTTGCGCGTACACCTTCCCCTCTGAAAACGAAAAGATGGTTGACCATCAAACCGTCCTCGGAACGCAATAGCCTCAAAGCTCTCATTTCAACTCTCCGTTCATCCCACGAACCGATATCCCAGAAATATGCGGTTAATCTCGAGGCTAGCTACAATGCATTGCATGATGACATACAGATCAGCGTGGAGCAAGTAGAATCCCTCCGAGAAGAGCTTCACCGCGATCACCAGATGTACCAATCCCACCTCTCTCATGTGTTAGGGAAAATTCGACGGGCACTCAATCCAGACCCTCAGTCCGAGCGAGTACAGGAGGTTATCCGGGTTGCAGGACTATGGCCGAAGAGCACCACCCGTTCGTTGCTGCACCACCTATCATTCTCATCCCGTTCAACAACTAAATTATCCCCCGAATGGAAGAATGCTCTCATCCACCTCGCCCAGTCCATACTGCTTTGGCAGCGATCGGAGAGATTGGTGAGATTAGGACCCAAAACCGACGAATTTCTGAAGGAATGTTCGAGTTATCCTGATCTGCATGACATCTCTGACGACTGGCTGCTCGTCCAGGTGAGCGTGTCGTTTGTCAGCGTGGACGACGGGATTGACTCTCCGAGATTCTCAGATTGACTCCAACTTTCTTGCACGCCCTCTTCAAGTTGATGTTGCACATAACATGATGGTTCCTCGCTCACAGGATAATACCATCCTTCAGCTCAATATGGGGGAGGGGAAATCGTCCGTTATCGTTCCGCTTATTGCCATATCTCTAGCAGATGGACAAAAACTAGTCAGAATCGTCGTGCCAAAGCCCTTAGCAAATCAAACATTCCAGTCACTGGTTCGACGCTTGAGTGGCTTAGCGAATCGGCGAATATATTGTTTGCCGTTTTCCCGTGCTATCGCAACGGATTCGGATGTTTTTCGAAAAATCTATCATGAATGCATGGATACTGGTGGCATACTGGTTATGCAGCCTGAACATGTCCTGTCGTTCAAACTCACGGGTTTGGAACGACAGCTCTCATCGGCCAGGCGCAAGGGAATTCCGACTCCAAATGCACTGCTGGAGCTGCAGCGATGGCTGGATGCAAATGTTAGGGACATTTTGGACGAGAGTGACGAGATTCTGGCGGTCAAGTGCCGACTTGTGTATACAATTGGCGCTCAGCAGCCCCTAGGTCCTCAGCCTGTCAGATGGACTACGGTGCAGCATGTGTTTTCCATCCTGCGTAGTAGGGGCGGGCTTCTTGATCAGCTGGCTTCTCAAGGGGGTCTCGAGCTCGAGAAACGAGACGGATACTTCCCTCGACTTCGTATCCTCAGACATGAAGCTGGCGTCCAAATTTTGAAATCTCTTTTACAAGGAATAATGCAAGGGGAGTCTCCTGATCTACCTCCGTTCAGGCTATTTCATGGAGGGGTGCGACGAGAAGCAGAGGCTTTCATCGCCCAAAGGGACCCTGGAACACTTCCTGAATTGCGAAATTACTGTCGCAGTGACAACCATCTATGGAGCATTTTGCTCCTGTTGAGAGGCCTTTTTGCGCATGGGATACTTATGTACGTTCTCAGTGGACGTAGGTGGCGAGTAGACTATGGGCTTGACCTAACGCGGTCGCTTCTCGCGGTGCCCTATCGTGCAAAGGATGTGCCTGCACTGAGAGCAGAGTTCAGTCACCCGGACGTCTGCATCTCTCTGACATACCTCAGCTACTACTATGGCGGATTATCTTACGATCAGCTTGATATATGCTTCAAGCATATCAACGAACTAGAAGACCCTGTAGCGGAATATTGCAGGTGGATTAAGGACAATTGCTTGGTACCAGACTTCCTCCACAATTACAGTAGTTTCAACCCGGATGACCGCGAACAAAAGATCCAGCATCTCTATCCAGCTTTCGAAAGGAACCCATCGACGATTAACTTCTTCCTCTGTCAGGTTGTTTTTCCGAAGGAAGCCAAGACATTTCCTCAAAAACTCTCCACATCGGGTTGGGACATTGCCGAACGAAGGCAACACATAACGACGGGTTTCAGTGGCACCAATGACAACCGCTATCTTCTCCCCACTTCTATTCAACAGGATGACATCCCTGCGCAATTGGGTACAAATGCTAAGGTGTTGAATTTGATGCTGCAGCCTGAGAACGATCACTACCAAAGCGTGGTCAGTAGCGAGTTTCTGGACGTCATCGTCAGGGAAACACCCCAAATTCGAGTTTTGTTGGATGTGGGTGCCCAGATGTTGGAATTCTCCAATAAGGAATTAGCATCGATATGGCTTTCGCAAGTCTTGGCAGTAGATATAGATGCTGCGATCTTCTTCTCCGAAGATGACGAACTCTTCGTTATCAGGCGTGATGGGGCAACGGAACCATTCATCTCTTCGTCGTACAGACACCAGCTTGATCGTTGCCTCGTGTACTTGGACGATTCCCACACAAGAGGCACTGACTTGAAATTGCCTGCCAATTATCGTGCGGCAGTTACATTAGGTCCGAAAGTGACAAAGGATAGACTAGTTCAAGGTGAGCCTTCCTATTCCTATGAGGATATGATCGAATCAGCAGGTATGTCTTCAGGATGTATGCGAATGCGCAGGTTGGGTAGGGGGCAATCTGTCCTTTTTCTCGCCCCTCCTGATGTGGATCGCAAAATCCGCAAGTTCTCTAAAAAGATCCATGGAGAACGAATCGGTGTATATGACGTTCTTTCCTGGTCCATCAGGGAGACATGTGCCGGCCTACGGCGTTATAGTTGTGACTGGAGAGAGCAAGGCATTCATTACATCAATAGGCAATGCGCATGGGAAGAATTTTGGACATCCTCCATCCCTCGCACCTCAGTGTTAGCAAAATGGGAAGAGTTTTGGACATCCTTCATCCCCCGCACCTCAGTGTTAGAAAAATATTGGTTGAGACCCGAGTTGAAGTCTCTCGAGGAAATGTATGGGGCACCATCGTCCTCCAGGCCACTGGAACAGGAATTGTCTCATCCTGCAGCCGATTGTCGTGAGATCAAGCAGAGGAGTGAGAATTTCTCATCCTCTACGGAGAGTTGGCTGGTGAAAATGGCAGAAGAGCAGGAACGCGAAGTAACCCACGAGCCTAGGCGTGAGCCGGAGGTCGAGTCACCACCATCTTTACGGCCTGCCCGCCATCGCCTCCATCCTGATGTCGTATCATTCGTGCGCGATGGTCAAATCCCACCATTTTCTCGTGCTTTCATCTCTCTCTTTTCTTCAGTCACAATCCTTCCTCGGTATCAGCAAGACACCAAGTGGTCACGCAACCTTCTTGCAACCAACGACTTCATCACCACAATCAAGGGTTCGAATGCACGGAAAGGCATCGAGTTTCTTCGGCCCGTGAACTGGATACTATCTAGTATTCACGGACCGGAGCTCGTGGTGAGCAGTCCTTTTGAGGTGAACGAGTTGCTCCCGGAAATCCGCCGCAGCTGCAACATCAGGTTGCACGTGTACTCTCCAAGAACGAGTCAGCCGATGAGATCCTTCGATGATCTCAAATTTTATACAATCCCATCTCTACCAACGACGTGGACTTACCCGGAGAGGCTCACAGTCTCGCAGCTCAATATATTCTCAGGCCAATTATACATCAACGACTTCGAAACGTATCTTGAACTTTGCAATTTTCTGGGAATCAACACCAGTCATGATGGGAGGAACGAAGTAGAAACACAAATTGATGGTTTTGTCCTACCCAAGAAGCGTACTCGGGAAATGAGTTTAGCCTGCCCCTTTGATATCACTCCTCTGCCTTTCATCCGCAAGCTAACAAGCCTCCGGAGGAAGGGTAAGTTGTTCCATCTGATTCTAGCAGCCCGAAGTACCCACGCTAACACGCCACGCTCAAGGAACGTCCTATGCCTCTACTCATCTTGGACGAATTGTTAATGGAGCATTCATACAGCCAGAGGAGTTTTGACCGAATATACACCATAACCGATTATGTATTTGATTGTCCAGCTTGCAAATTCGCAGTAGGCGTATATACCATTATATAAATGAGCTTAGAGCCTCTCGGCCAGCGGAACCCCACATCCGATCGGTGCAGTCCCACTGTCACGCCCGTACAGACTGTGTATGGTATTACCGCGCACTGGCGTGGATCCCACAGCAACCCTACAGTGTTCGGTTGCCGTATTAGAAAGGTAGCGAATTTACGCTAGGATACGTGAGTGCGCGTCAGTCATAAAGACCAACACGAAAGAGAAAAGTCTAAGGCAAAGCAGCGAGACGCCCATGGGACACAGAAGAGAATGTTGCAACGCCGTGTCATACATATCTACGTGGCGGCATGGACGCTTGTCCCATGCCCCTCTTGCCCGTATGCCATGCCCCGCCCTCACGTCTCATGCACGATAACCTATCGATTTCACCATTGACAAAAAAGCGATGCGACATTCACACATTTATGCTGGAAATATTGGGAAGTGTTATTTGCTGTCTAGGCAATTCTACTGAGAGTGAACTCCATGGAGCAGTCGCATGCGCGCAAACTCTTGCTCATGCTCAGCTGTCTTTGTTTTGGATCTTGCAAATGGGACGAATTTCAAGTTGGTATCGTGGTTATCCCCTGTTTCCACAAATCTGGCTTTCCAGGATCTAGTCACCACATTGGAACTCGAGCAACAATCAAGAGTGCATATTGATGTGCGCGACAATCAGGAGGCCACATAATTAAGACCAAGCTTGTGCTATTGTTCAGTCTACACTGATGCAGCAGACGGGGGTATGACGCAATAATCCCATGGTCGGAGCCATAGATAGACCTGAATATGTGTCAAGGAAACACTTTCAAAAGCGGTAGCCTCATCATCTTCCAGTTTGAGGCAAAGTAATGTCAGATCTCCCATGGGTGGTGCCGTCTGTACAAGTGATATGAGATATTGTTGATGGAGCGATGCATTTTCGTGGAAGCCCGACCTCTCGATCACAAAGGGAGCCTAGTCTATTCTCGCCTGTTCCAACTCGTGTTTGGATATCACGTAGGAGATGCGATAAAAAATATTGCTAAAAGCGCAATTGTTGGCCCCCATGGTAACAGGGACGGCAAAGAAGAATGCAGGGGTGCTTGGGGCCGGTGGCTGGTGGTTTGGTCAATTCTGACCCAACTGATGATCACACCATTTTCGCCTTCACTCGTGGGAATTGGCGACCAAGTGACTCGGAGTGATCCATCTCGTTTCGGCCACCACATCGTGCGTCGGCTTCCCAAGTCCCAGGCGACCGGTCCCTTTACTGGCCCTCTACGAACATGCATGATTTCAATTGCGTCAAGCCTTCGACACCGAATATGCTTGGATGGGTATTATTATTCTCAGATCAAACTTATTTAATTTGTTGTCTTCTACTTTTATTCCGCAATTTATCTCAGGGGGCTGCTGACGACCAGTCAGAAAAAAACGAACAGAGCAAGTCTTTGCACTCTCGATCCTAGCGTTCCAAAACGATAGGATGTCACACACTGCACGGAAATCAATCTTGGGCGACACAACGCCGATAAGCCTTCCCCATTCATGATTGGGTTCGAAGCACCTGAAAACAAACCCGCTGGCATTCATATAGGAATCGGCGATAGCACATTGTCTATAAATCTACAAAGTATAGGGGGCTGCACCAAGACTTGGAAGCAAGAAGTGATATATGTTTGTTGATAATTACGGCTGCAGTCTGGCCTAGTCTGTGCTGTTGGCACTATTGTGTCCAATCCTAGACGCGAACAGGCACCAGAACGCCTGGCTTGCAGTTACTTCTTGCGATTTCACAACACTCTCGTGGATTCTCCCCAATCCTTCACCCAATAGCGTCTACAGTCCTCCCCCACTCCATTGAAACTACCGTCGTCCTCAACACTCGAGACAACACCATGCCCACCTAAGATTTTGTGAGCTACGTCATCAGCTGGAGAGCGCAAATTGCTCGCAGCGTACCTCCAACGTGGGGAGTCACCGCGTGTGAAAATTTCTTCGTTACCCTTCGTCCCCGCGGCATCTTTGCGCGTCACCGGAGACCCAAAGCAAGTTCGCCTAGGTCTGGACTTCTGTGCTGAATCAGATTTCAAATTATCCAGGGCGGTTTGCAAATCATTCTTCTCCCTCTCAAGGCTGGCGACAATTTCTCTCATCTGAGCGACATCACTTTCATGTTTCCTTTTGATATCGTCCAAGGAGCTTTGTAGCCGTTCTATACCCCCCTTTTGCGCATCGATACTCTCCCGGAAAGTGCTAAGCTGCTTCAGTGCGTGCTTGTTCTCAGCTTGTGCTCTGTGGGTTGGTGCATTCGCGTTATTCGGTTTTTCTCGTATTTCTTGAAGTCCCTGCTCCAACCTCAAATTTTCTAGGAGTTGTAAGTGAGGCCGGACCTGCAACTATAACAAGCCTTGACTGGCCAGCATTGTGGACGCTCTCAAAGCCGAGACCCAAATCACCTTTTTCCTCCTTTGTTCCCTGTGAAGCCTTGTCGTACTCGTTCAACAGCGCGGGGATGGGCTGGGTGATATCAATCTCTCGCTTGGATTTGACGTCCAAGGGCTCTTGCAGCCCAGCTTCCCCGTTCGTAGACCCAAAGCGATTTGGCAAAGAGACGGACTTCTTGGCCAGCTCAGATTTCAAGACATCCAGAGCCGTTTCCAAGTCACTCTTCTCCCTTTGATGACTAGCGACAGCTTTTCTCATCTGAGCAATATCAACCTCATGCTTGGATTTCATATTGTCCAAAAAGCTTTGCAGCTGTTCTGTCTCGTCCCTCTGTGAATTTATGGTTTCTTGGGCAGAGACAAGCTGTTTTAGCGTGCGCTTATTCTCCGCTTCCGCTCTCTGTGTGGATGAGTTCGCTTTGTTCAGTTTCTCCCGTAGTTCTTGAAGTGCGCACTCCAGATTCCAAATCTCCTCACTATTTTTCTCTGTGGGTCTGCAGGTTAAGCCAGATCTGCAACTACATCAAACTTCAACTAACCAGCATTTGCTTGATGTTTTCTGAACGATGCCCGGAGGCTCTCCACGCTACGCTCCAGATCATCTCTTTGCTCCCTCAGCTCCTGTAAGGCCCTGTCACGTTCGCCCACCAGCGCACGTATGCGGCGGTTTTCGCCCGTCGATGGATCTCCGGTCTCGATTGTGATTCTATTTAAATAATCCCGCTGTGAATAGGAATGGAGTAGCGTACTCACATCGTCTGAATACCAATCTATCTCACTGACGTCTTTTGCCTTCCGCAGGCTCGCATTTTTGGTACGCCATGGCGATTGGGTGGCCGCTCGGGTTACTTCAGGGTGAGAAGACATATCCCCACCTGATGAGGAGCCGGAAGGGAATGATGGTGCAATGGGTGGGTCAACATCCGGCTTTTCGCCATAAACCACCCATAGAAATAATGTGAATGATCTACAAGTCTCCAATGCTTACACCTACTAATGTATCAAGGGCAAGGGCGTTAACCCAGGTCTCTTGGTTCTCCACCTCCCATGTTTTCAATGTCCTTCCCAAGCTTTCCAGCTCATCTCTAGTGGGCGCAATGTCTCTAGAATCGCTGGACTGCGGCACCCCAATTTCTGCCTCGACCATTCGCTGTATACGTTCCTCGAGCTCAATCTCTTGGCTAAGGAGCCGTTGCCCGAGAGTCCCCACGAGGGTAAGTTGTCGTTTCTTGTTGCTGATCAATGCCTGTAGTTGTTCCCGTATTCCTGACCGCAAGGGTGGGTTACCCTTAGCAACTTGAGGTTCGCTGAAATTAGGCGGTATTTTCGGTTCCATTAGACGTGGAGGGCATAGCAAGAAAAGAGACGACAAGGTAGTAGACAAGAATGAGGGACAGGTTGTGCAAACGTCGTTCGAGAGTATCCCATATCCTGAAACCTGAAGGGTCTGGCTGCACAAGCAGCATTTCCTTGCCAGGATCCCAGGATTCCCATTCCAGCCACTTGGTTTGTCGGCTGATGCCGACGCGTAATGTGCGTAATCCGGGACCAAAGCGAAGGGAGACAGCCTCCATCCCTTCCGAGTCCCCTTATTACTGCGTGAGGGTTCCCGCACTTCACAGGCCCATCGGACGTAGATCTACGTCCCACACCTAATCAGGTACCGAAGAATTTGATAATGTGCCTGGCTCGTCCTTGGCAGCGTCTAAGTGGTTTCTTCCGTTTATGTAAGGGGCACATACTCCTTGCGGCGGCATAGCAATAGATTTCTATATGCGGTCTTTGTCAAACCCACGACACAGCCGAGTCAAGTGCTGTAACCACGAATGTCTGAGTCTGTGTATGCCGTCTCCGATGGGGGCACCATCGTCAAGCTGACGCCGAAGAGAGCTTGATCATGGAAGCCACTCATATTATATAATCGAGCCTGTTCAATGGATTCGTCGGCAGCACTGCGGAGGGGGATCTCCAGACTGCTAAAATTAAAAACCAAGTCTAATTTCACCCACTCCGTTTTGGACGCTGTCGAATCTGGTGGTGGCCGGTAAATATATATACAGACTATTTTACTTTCTTCCTAGCAGCACAATCCTCGGATTTTCCTAACGTTTGTTGCATGTAAGGCAGCTGGTTTGATGCGTCAATGCCTCCCGCCAGTCGCACATTGCCATCATCTGAAACTAGATAACAGCCATTTGGTGGAAAGAATATTTATTCGGTATGTCCCTTCAGTACCCGAAGATTCCTTCCTCAAGGGCATAGCGACCTCTCAACATCACCACCTGATGGCCGACACCTAGCCTTGGATGATGGTATCATAGTTGTTTGGTGGGGTATGGCGACAGGGGTTCCTGAAAGGTCATATTCCATCGAATCTTCTCCCGATGGCAGCCATCTGGTCTCAGCCTCCCGATTGCATCGTGTGCCTCTAAAATGCTGTCGGTGGGAGCTGCATTGAACAGAGACAGCTCGATCTGGATATCGATCCTTGTCGACTGCCATTTTCCATAGATTACTTTGAATAATGATTCGTGTCAACGGTCCGACAGCGACGAAATATTTGGGTATTCCGGGCTTAGAAGAGATAACTCCGATTCCATGGTCCCTCATCCGGTCTGCCTCATCCTACTTTTGCCACCACAATGCCTTTGGCATCAAGGAGGGAAATATCGCCCTTCGCGTCTGTCGGCTTTATGCCCATTTCTCATATCGCACAACATGGGAATCGTTGAGCGAGAGGGGGCTGCGACTGCATTCATCAATTTGGACCGCATTACACTTCCCAATGTGAGGTATTTGCGCACACGCATGACATCATTATCACTGGATTTGCTATTGCATTGTCGAGATCTCACCCGCTAATGTTAGAATTGGACGCAAGTGTGCGAAAATATATCAAGTATGGGTGGGTGACCAGCGGTCTGGCGTCGCACTCAAGCCCCACCACCCGCCTATTGAGCACGAATGATGATGCGCGTTCCCTGACAGTGCAATGGTGTCCAAAGAAAGGCAGATTATAGGTGCAGATTTAATTTACAGCAGGAATCGGGGCCCAACCAATCAATAGCTGAGAGTGTGGAATAAAAGGTAAGAAGCAACGTTGACCCTCTCGATAAGACCCTCGGCGACAATTGGATCAATTTCCCTATTTAATCTCACCCTCTTATGAGTCGTAGAACCAACATGTCCAGCTAATACGAAGGGATGCCTTGGGTGCTAACTTGGAGAAACTTCCGGGGTGGCCACGGAGAAGGGAGAAGAGGTTTTTGCCCACCCATTTTTTTAGGTGATCGAGTTCGTTGATATTCTCGTTACTATGAGCCATTGTCAGATTGTTCCAGAAATCCCCCTCTCAAGCTCCCGAAGGCCGGAATTTTTTTGTTTTCCCTAGAATGATAGAAGTTTGTTGAGCAATGACGCGCAGAATGTGATGATCGAGCAGGTAGGCGAGATAACAATGCGACCGTCGACCCGTAAACTATTCCATCTGAATACGGAGGGCGGGAGTAATAGAACAACCTAGCGACGGACGATTCTGTGGAAATACAGTTAACCCTGTAGTCATTCCATCTACCTCCATATTACAATACCCCAGGGTGCGGTAAATTCGGCGAAGGCGCAGATTTGGTGACAGTCTAAAAATACTACTGCACACTGGGAGGCAAAAGTCCATCCAAATTGAGAAATGCAATCATCCCCTCCTTTCCGCCAATGCAAACATTATTCCCATGTGCTGCGATAGGGGTACTGGGTTCAAAGTAGTCGGGGAGCCAACAGACGTAAAGACTAGTGTCTCCTTGCTTGATACAAAGAGCATTGTGGTCAAGGCAGACAGGGGATGGATTAGATTGGAAGAATAGCGGTGAAGCTGGGGGGATATATTCTCTAAATCCGGGAAGCTCAGATCTTCCGTCTCCGTTGGACCTTGGACCCGGATCGTCAAGCCGTCGGCGGAGAATGAAATATGACGAGGGTCAAAGCCCCAACCTAGCTGTCTTTGTCCAATACAGCGCCCGTCCGCAGCATCCCAGATACACACGACATCATCCTGAGTGGCTGAAACTAGATGACGACCATCGGGCGAATATTCGGCGGACAATACTGAGCCGGTGTGCCCCTTCCGTTCTCGATCAGATACTCCTGTCACTTGCCACACACGCATGGTACCATCATCTGAGGATGACACCACAAGACTGCCATCTGGCGAGAACTCCGCCGACAAGGCCGAAGCAGTGTGGCCTCTCAGTTCACGCGTAGGCGCTCCAAACGCCGTGTCCCCGATACGTAGGGTACCGTCTAGGGAGGCTGAGACCAGATGACGGCCATCGGGTGAGAATTTAACGAATGAGACGGAATGAGCGTGTTCTTCCAGTTTTCGGACAAGGGCTCCGGTCTCCACGTCCCAGACACGCATATTCCGATCGTCCGACACCAGATGACGGCCATCTGGCGAAAATGAAACGGACCATACCTGAGCAGTATGGCCTTTGAGTTCTCGAAGAAGCACCCCATCTCCATCCCCCCCGTCCCAACCATGCGACGCCTCCCAACCATACAACGCCTCCCAACCAGACAGTCCCTCCCAACTATACAGTCCCTCCCAATCATTCTCGTTCCAAACACATACGGTGTGATCTTCCGAGGCGGAGGCTAGACGATCGCCATTCGGTGAAAAGGCGACGGACCTAACCCAACCAGAGTGTCCCTTCCGCTGTCGAAGGAGTGTTCCTGCGGCAACATCCCAGACACAGACTGTACGATCGTTCGAGGCTGAGGCCAGACGACAACCATCCTGTGAAAAGGCTACAGACCTAACCCAACTAGCATGCCCTTTCAATTCTCGAAGCAGTCCTCCCGTCACCGGATCCCAGATCCGCACGACGCAGTCATTCGAGGCCGAGGCAAGATGACCTTCTGGCGAAAATGCAACAGACCCTACCCAACCGGTGCCACGACCCTTCAGTTCGCGGAAAAGCGCCCCTGTCGTTGCATCCCAAACACACACGCTTCCATTCGATGAGCCGGAGGCTAGATAACGGCCGTCTGGTGAAAATGTCGCTGACAAGATTCCACTTATGGGAATCTTCATTACCTGCGATGGCCACGAATGACCGCTGTCCATGTCACGAGCAACAATCCGGCATTTAGCATTCCCTTTCGTCGGAAATGTAGCATTCAATGAGGAACCTAACGGAATAAACGGGTGGCTACTCCCGAGTATGGATAAGGATGAGAGCGCTAATGCACTCTTAGATTGCATGACCAGACGGCATAAGTCATAAACCACACGACATGTGTCGGTACTTTGCTCGTCGGATTCCTTGGAGACATGATGTGAGCGATAGGTTATCCATTTAAACTTTTAACATACCAGCCATTGCGCCAGTTCTTTCAGTCCTCGGCAAGCTTGATCTATTTCGCCCATGATCCCCATTGCTGCAATCCAGTGAAGAAATGATGGCACAGCGCGAGATAGTGCTATCATTATCTCATTGTCTCGATGATTCGACACGCAAAGGAGAGTGGTCCACTGGCGGCAGACCAACTTCAACTCCAACGTTATTAGCATGTCGAATTCACTCTGAAGATTAGGAATAGTGTCGTTCATTTGGAAGCGCCACGCTATTGGTAGACTATCCAACACCGTGCACAGACCCAGAAACTCCAGCGCAAACAGCACGACCTTGGGTCCTGGGAAGAGCTGGAAATGGCATGAGACAATGCTTATGGGGCCACGAGCGGCCAGGGAATTTCGACGTACCGTGATCTCAGCTACTTTCTGCTGGCGATAGATCAGGCGATCGGCAGTTGCAGCGGCGCGAGACAGCACGTACCGATGATCTTAAGAGGTCGGTGATGCGGGATATCAAAGTAATTATGTCATCCACGTTCCGTGAGGAACTCTGGAGACTCTGTTCCCATGATAAAACCGTCCGAATCAATTCACTGGCATAAGTGTGTCAGAGGGATGGCGCAAGACTGCTGTTTATCGAGAATTCACTGACTCGGGGAAACTCTTTGAGAATGTCCGTGCTTCCCGAGCCCCGTAGCATCTACGAAGATGCTCAAACAGGTCGTCATGGAGCATAATAAGAAGTCTCCGCGTAGATGAAGAGACTTGAAATGCATCGAGCGCAAGGAAACTGTGAAAAGCAAACTTCTAGCTCAAAAGTAGATCAATTGTTGTGGACAATACTTGGCGCGAACCGTTTTCCTTACATGATGTTTTTTGATAGTATTCAGAACTGACTTGACAGCCTTCGTCAGCGTTGAATCTGCAATTAACCCAGCGCTTCTCAAAATTTTGTCCGATGCAAGTTCGATCTCATTAGCAATGGAGGAATACATCAAAAGTCTGATACGGCCGCGCTGCTCGGCCCCAATTTTGGGATGATTGAGAGATGCACTCTCATACTTGGCTCCATACATCAATATTACCATTTCCTGGATGGTGGATGAAAAGAACCAACAATTATCCTACATGTTGCCCCGGATTAAGTGACCATAACGTAGGAAGGGCCAAACGTTGACACTTACTCTGGTCGACTTGTACCCAAGAGATTCTGCCACAACGGTATGCAATATCCGTGCGATCGTAACGAGAGGAGCCGGGGTCGGAAGGACCATGATGGCTTCAATTCCGGCCTCATTGTTCGTGGCATCCAGAAGGTGCTCGAGTCGACCAGAGATAGCAACCTACAAGTGCTGCGTCTTAGCTCTCGTGCAATGACCGTATATCCCACAACACACAGTATCTACCACATTCGACTTCCCTGGATCTCGATCCAAGCGAATGTAAAAGTCTTTTCCACAGGCCCGGGTAACGTGAAGGATAAGAAATCGATGTGACACGCCATGAAGGTCCCCATAACGTTCAATCGACATAATATTGGCATCGGCGGCGCGAGGGCTCTTAACCACGCTTTCGCAGAATGTTCGCACAGAGCAAGTCCTGTACGGCTGAGGGTTCAAGTCTTCGGAGTGGGCACCCGCTCCTGTGCCGCTTGCCACGTGTGTAGCCGATGACGCACGAAGGGTTGGGATAGCAGCGAACACAGCAAGAGATGAGGCCATGGAAAATCGGCTACTCAGTCGGTTGGGAAGGGACGGCACCTCTGCGGATGAAGGATCGACACCAGATGGGCCAGGCTGGATTGGAAACTCAATCTCCCCATCGAGCTATTAAGCCCAAGTGAGTAAAGCCCAGCTCGGTCAGGAAGTTCATTCTCACATAGACAAGGAAATCTTCGACCAGGGTCAGCTGTGGAAATCCTGGAGGCCTAATCAAGTTAATCGGGGTACACATGGATCCCAGGGAAGATCGAAGATGATGACGCCGGAGCTAGTAGCGGCGTCGTAACATGAAGAACCCCTTGCCTACCTGAACGCTGCGGTAGAGATAGAAGAAAAGGACCTCTATGATCGGGGATGCTCTTCGATTAAGGCTGCCGTTAGGTGGAATTTGATGGGCCGTTAAGAGGGTTGAGAGTCCAGAACCGACTTGGTATCCTAAGATGGGTGGGATTTGTGACTGGCTAGGGACGAAACGTGTGTGGTAGGCACAATCAGGTTCCGAAATGAAGGCTGTGCAGGTGAATCATACTGCGACCTACTGCGACACGCACTTCCAACATTCGTTCAAGTGTATATCTCACATAAACACATCATAAACTAGTCTCCAAAAATGGAATTCCCGCATTCCTGTCAACTAGCTGGTTCTGCTGCGCACGGGTTGTAACTCAGTCCTTACATAATCCCTCGTTATATGACGACATACGCCAAAGAGGCTAGGGATCTGTACGAAGGGGCGCCAGCGGAACAGCCCATTATGCTCCTCACGCTTTTTGAGTTGTGGATGGCACTCGACATTTTGGCCGTAGCTAGCTGTCCCCCCCGAAAGACCATCCGCCCGAAGCCCCACCGACCCCACACGAGGGCCCCCTGCTTTCGAAAGCTGAGCCGTTGGCACGCATTTCGAGGATCAAGGCGCACCTGCGCAAGCGCTATCATGAAGCTGGCAGTAACCCTCGGTCGGTCTTCTCAGAAGTTGTCGACGCGGAAACCTTCGCAGTCAGATTTTTCGATTCATCCCCGTCGCTCCAGGATCTTAAGCGCACCATAGAGCAACAAGCGATGACGAGTCAAAAACTTCGCGAGCTTCACTTGCTGAAACTTGAATATAAGGAAATAATGAAACGAGCAGGTACGACCTCGAAGAAGGCAAATTTTCTCATGATTAGACACTAAACTGGATCTTTAGGCTCTCACACTGTGGATCGCATGAGGTCTAGGCACAATCCGGAATCTTGCGAAGAATGCTGTTTCAAACGGCGGGCAAGAGCCCTGAGGACAGTTATTCGCGAATGGCCTCTTCCACAAGAACCAGTCCGAGCCAAATTCTTTGTGTTTGAACGAGCAGTCCCTAGCGTTTTCAAAACTTGGAGACGACTTATTGGCTTCTCCGTGACATTCGTATGTCGAAGGAAGGAAGGACACTTACGATGGGCGAATCGTATATCCGCTCAGACTCATAGAAGTCCCCCTCAGGTAAAGAATGTCGCGCCCCAAATTCTCAACAACGAATATCGTTAGCACCGGAGGTGGAAATCCCGGACAAGGAAGGTGGTGTCTCTCGCACGTATACAGCTTCCTGTCGGCTGTGGGACAACAGCCGTCGCAGATGGATATATCCTCCACTGGTTACTTCGATCTGAGTCACAGAACGTCCATGCGGATACCGGGGGAGTCTCCATATGCTTCCTTGGAACGCTCTGTGTTGGGAACATCCCACACTTCGAACGAAGTTCTTGCGAGCCAACATGAATGTCCCACTTCGCTCAGCCTACGCAGTTTTGTCGCCTTCGGTTCGTTACGCGCTGGGGTCCGGTTACAGTGGTACAATATTGCCCGAGAGATTCCCTCCGGAAATTTAAGTTTTCAGTGCGAGGTGTATGACCTCATCTCCCAGGCTGTGTGCCAAGTCGGATGCCTTTCGAGCGATGGTATTTGGGAATGTCACCAGGTTTTACCAGAGGTGCCATTCGGTAATGTGTTATTGGACGTCCTTGAACAGTTGGGGACGGATATGGAGGGTAACTGGTGCCAGGGTATCGCAGCACTGGCTATCACTACACTGGCTTCCCGTCTCGGCTATGGCACAGCCGATCATCAATAGAACGTGCAAACTACTTAGATCCGAGACACTACTTTGCGCTGGTTGCACGAACTTCTGGCACTTCAATCACACGCCGAAACCGAAACCGAATGAGACAGATATCATGAAGCAATATGTCAAGTAGCCGCAATTTGTAGGAGTTCATTCGACGTCGATGCGCACCATGCTAAATTGCTGCTTCAAACTCCGGAAGATGTCGCCATATTCATTGAATGTGCTATCATCCTTTGCAGCCAACCTCCCCCATTTGCTGATTTCATTGATATTTTCGTCACTAGATTCCCAGAGTGAATTATTTCAGAAATCCTGCTCTCAAACTCCCGAAGACCGGAATGTTTTTGTTTTCCCTAAGATGACGTAGTGGGGGTTTGGTGAGCAATGACGCGCAGAATGTGACCCGGAGTGATGATCGAGCATGCAGATAATAATGCGGCCGTCAGTCTCAATACGGAGGGTGGGAGCAATAGAACAACTAACGACGGACGATTCTGTGGAAGTAGGGTTAACCCCACATTCATTCCATCTATCCCATGTTACATTACCCTAGGGTGCAGATTTGCTGCCGTACCCAGAATACTACTGCACACTGGGAGGGAAAAGTCCATCCAAATTGAGAAATGCATGCCGCGATAGGGGTACTGGGTTCAAAGTAGTCGGGGAGCCAACAGACTAGTGTCTCCTTGCTTGATACAAAGAGCATTGTGGTCAAGGGAGACAGGGGATGGATTGGATTGGAAGAATGGCGATGAAGTTGAAGGGGATATCTCCAAATTCGGGAAGCTCAGAACTTCCGTCTCCGTTGGATCTTGGACACGGATCGTCAAGCTGTTGGCGGAGAATCGAGGGTCAGAGCCCCAGCCGAGCTGTCTCTGTTCAATACAACACCCATCGGCAGCATCCCAGATACATCCTGAATGGCCGAAACTAAATGACGACCATCGGGCGAATATTCGACGGACAATACTGAGCTGGTGTGCCCCTTCCGTTCCCGATCAGATACTCCGCGGACAAGGCCGAAGCAGTGTGGCCTCTGTTCACGCGTAGGCGCTCCAAACGCCGTGTCCCCGATACGTAGGGTACCGTCAAGGGAGGCTGAGACCAGATAACGACCATCGGGCGAGAATTTAACGAATGAGCGTGTTCTTTCAGTTCTTGGACAAGCCCTTCGGTTTCTACGTCCCAGACACGCATATTCCGATCTGGCGAAAATGGAACAGACCATACCTGAGCGGTATGACCTTTGAGTTCTCGAAGAAGCGCCCCTCTGTCCCAACCGTGCGACGCGTCCCAACCATTCAACCCCTCCCAACCAGCGGATTGGAAACTTAATCTCCCCATCGAGCTATTAAGCCCAAATGAATGGAATCAGCCCGATCACAAAGTTCATTCTCAAAAAAAAAGAAATCTTCGACCAGGGATGACTTGGGAAATCCTGGAGGCCTAATTAAGTTGATGGGGGTGCTCTGGTTCCAAGGGAAGATCGAAGATGCAACTGGACGTCGGAGCTGGTAGCGGTGTTGTGACATGAAGAACCCTTTCCCACCTGAACACTGCAGTAGAGATAGAAGAAAAGGACGGCAAGGGTTCCCTATGATCAGGGACGCTCTTTGATTACAGCGAAGTGCAAAAAAATCTGCCGGTTTCGATTCGAACGGGTAAGTGGGGCAGGTGAATCCTCTACCTAAAAAAGTTGGCAAGATCGTGGCTCACGACAGGGATTTCCTTATTTGGATCAACAGCTCAAGCGCCGGGGTCTTCACCCTCGGCAATTATGGCAAGGGCAGCAACCCTCAGATCAGTTTATGATAATGAAGTTCAATGGTGCCCATCACGGTATATAGGATGTGCGTAGGGCTAGAGGTTACCTCTTGCTGTCACTCAGCCACGATGTCCGACAGCAAACAACTTGATAGTGAATACTCCATAAAGAACAAAGAACAGTAACGCACGGCCTATCTTCTAGGTCTGACTGGGGAAAAGCCATTGCCAAAGAGCCGTCGTGAAGCGGTCTATCATTTTCTCGAAAATGGGCATCTCAACTACCTTCAGACATGTTCTCACAGATGGTGGCGACGATGCCAGCCAGAAGTCAGTGAAGATCCCTGAAAATTGTAGGTCTGATTTCTTGATCTGGTCTTTACCAATGACACTAGTTTTTGTCACAAGGGGAAGAGAAACCACTCAACGATCCTGTTCGCACCTGTGTGCAGACATATCTTACTGTGAGCCGCAATGGCCACTTCCCATATTCCTTGGAACCTCACCTGCCCACTACCAATCCACCTCCTGTGTCTGTACCCACTCCATCCGCCCGGGTCAAGTCAATGGGAACCCATTGCCGTGCCCAATCCCGCGCCTGTATACACTCTGCCTAGTACAGGTTGCCGCAGGAGGGCCAGCTCAGGCATCAGTCTTAGGGGCTAAGTCAGGGAACAGGCAGGTCATAGGAAAAGACGAAGAGAGATCGCTTCACCGAGATACTTTTGATTAGAATTCGAGTACTCATTTCTAAGCGCAGCCTGTAATTTGTCAAGATACAAATCAGGCTTTTGTTCGATGAGACTGTCAGGGAACTTAAGATCACACACCACAAGTTTTATTTAGACGTGATTTTTGTACTTACATTCACTGCATGGATACTAAGCGCTCGATGTCGCCCTCTCGATCTTGATGGTGTGCATGTGGAGCAGCAAGCAACTCCCGAACAGTACGTTCGGACAATCAATCCCAAGCCCTCAGCAATCTCTTGTTGGGTCATCCTCGAAGATAGTGACACTAAGATGTCTTTTGCGCTGCGCTCAAGATGTATTCCTGTGTTAGCTAGACAGAGTTAACGGTTTGTTGATGCAAGGGCAATGAGTTTTGGCGCTTATGCACCACATGTAGGGGGAGTTCTACGGTGCCATTGGGGTTTCCATTCAAATCCTGATTCTGGTAGTGGGTGACTCCACCCCAGATCGCTTCCGTCAAAATCGAAACCGGCAGATTTTTTTGCACTTCGCTGTAAGGCTGCCGTTGAGTAGAGTCTGATGGATTGTTGAGAGGGTTAGGAGTCCAGAACTAACTTGGTATCGTCCACTGAGATAAGGGAGATAGGTTGGAATTGTGACTAGCCAGGGAGGAAACGTGGGTGCTGCTTTAATTTGTTACATCATAATTACGAGATGAAAGCTGTATGTACAGGCGAATCGCGTTATGTAATGTATAAGCTAATCTAAAAAAGAACATGATATGCAATTCCCGCATTCAATTATCCAGTCCTTCAGTCTCATTGCATTTGATCGCGGTTGTAATGCTCGTCCTCAAGGCCAAATGAATGCTATGGAATCCCACAGAATCATCAGGCGCCCCACTCGTGGTTTCTGATCTACACCTCAGGCCTACTAGGCTGACATTGGCGCAGTCAGCAGGAAACTGTGATTCAAAGTTTTCACCGGTATGTCAAAGGGCATTCTCCATGGCACGGGACAATGATGAAAACTAGAGGGCATTAATCCGATCGACTGATTTCCGACTCACGATATTCGATATCCCTTCACTGTCTCTTCTTCACGACGTCCGAAAACAAAGGCTTCGGCTTCTCAATTATATCCCGCAATGGGGGATGGCCTTCTAGACTTCGTCATCAACCATGTGTTCATGCCGCCCAAGTTGCCCCAAGAGGCGGATGAGAGTCCGGAGCGCATAGATTTTCTTTTGTCGACCATCCGCAAGAGCATGAAGCTTTACAGACAGCAGTATGCTGCGCCTGAGCACCGAGCGTTGTGGGATTCATTGTTGAAAATGGTGGGTACATTGCGCCGAATCAACATAGACCCGGAGGTTGGAATCAGCGAATGCATCAAAAGAAGGAGTTCTGGAGGTAATGTCACTAGATACAGGCTAGAGCTGAATAGTAGTAGTAATATCTCTGGATGCAGACACCATCGCCATTTTCATTCGTGCTCAAAACGCCGGTGTGATCATCCGTTGTGGCGAGGAGGAAACAATATTCGAGAATTTTGAAGCTTCGCCAACGAATAGAGCCGTGATGGGTTGCACAGGGAAGCTTGTCCGCTCCTTTCCCGGGCCCGCAATTGCCATCCGAAACAACGTTATGCAGGATCCGGATTTTCTAGAAGAATTGGCTGCATTCCTTACTGAGATGAATGGTGATCAACGGGAGGATGAGGACCTGATGGACGACGATCAATCGCTAGGTGAGGACACAGTGGACGGCGATCAACGGCATGAGGACACAATGGACGGCGATCAACGGGAGGACGAGGACGAAATGGGCAGTGATCAAACACAGGATGAGGACACAATGGGCGGTGATCGATCGCAGGATGAGGACGCAATAGATGGCGATCCACTGCAGGATAAGGACACAGTGGACAGTGATCAACCGCAGAATAAGGGAGAACACGGGAACCGCTCGTTCTCGTTCGCGCCCCGACGGCGATGGGATTCCAAGAATAATGACACACCTCATCCCAAGCACGTCACCGAATTGCTGACCGGGATACTCCGTGGACTAGGAGAGCCTTCCGACATTCCTCGCATCCAGAAGAGGACATCGGACGATGTTTTGCGGGGAGAAACCGCTTCTGTCCCATGGCGGCGCAGCTCCCTCTGGCTCGTTGTTCGCGTCGCGTTGCAAACTACGATTCATCGAGGCACTTCGAACATGAAGGAATACAAGTCTTTTATGATACTTCTTCTGGTCGAGATTCTGCGCAGCGGTGTTGAGAACCGTTTACCGGGACATATCCTTTATTGCATGCGTGCCAAACTTAGCCGCCGACTCTTTAAAATCCGACCATGGGCAGCTCCGTCTCTGGTCACACTTGTGCACGAGGTTGCGCTTGATACTGAAGGACTGCTCCAAGATCGATGGAGGAGCATCCAAGACGCGCAGATGCGAGCACCTAAGTGGGCACCAGACGAGCTAGATATTATTGGGGACACTAGCCTCAACTTGAAAAATTGCAGATCTCACATCAGCGCCGCTTTTATCTCAGGGATTTCCGCCAATCGCAATGCTACGTTCCAACCACATCATCATCCACGTTCATCCAATGATCTCTTTGACGACGAACCTGGGAGTTTTTCAGCAGCAGTAGAAGCCAATGGGTTTGTTGCGCTTTGGGATTTTGAGCGTTGCGTAAAAGATCGCATTGACGAATGGGTATCTCGGCAAATCTCTGACCAGAATTGTGAAAGTGCTTGCGACTTAATCTCTCGTTATATGACGACATACGCCGAAGAGGCCGGGAAACTGTATGAAGAGGCTCCAGCGGAACAGTCCATCATGCTCCTCACACTTTTTGAGTTGTGGATGGCACTCGACATTCTGGCAATAACTGGTTGTCCCCTCTTGAAGGATTATTCGCCTGAGGTTCCACTGACTCTATATGAGGGCCTCCTGCTTTCGAAATCCGAGTCGTTGGCACGCATCTCGAAGATCCAGACGTACCTGCGCAAGCGCTATCACGAAGCTGGTAGTACCCCTCGATCAGCTTTCTCGGAAATTGTCGATGAGGAGACTTTCGCAGTCAGATTTTTCGAGTCGTCTCCATCACTCCAGAATCTTAAACGCACCATAGAGGAACAAGCGTGGACGAGCGAAAAACTTCGCGAGCTTCACTTGCTAAATCTAGAATATAGAGGAATGATGAAACGAGCAGATACGACTTTGAAGGAGGCAAACATGTTCGTAATCAGGGATTAAATTTGATTTTTAGGCTTTCACGCTGTAGATCGCATTGGGTTGTGGCACGACCCGGAGCCTTGCAGAAAATGCTATTACAAATGGCGGGCAAGAGCCCTGAAGACGGTTATTCGTGAATGGCCTCTACCAAAAGAACCGGTGCGAGCCAAAGTCTTTGTGTTTGAACGAGCAGTTCCTGTGGTTTTCAGGGCTTGGAGGGAGACAACTTATTGGCTTCTCCGTGACATCTGTACGCCGGAAAAAGGAAGATGGCTCACGAGGTGGGAAGGGTATGCCCGTCGCGACCTTCCTTCCAAGCGTCCCGTTCCGAATCCCCAACACCGAATATCGCTGGTACCGGAGTTGAGAATCCTAGACAACGAACTTGGTAATGTCTGCGGCACGTATACTTCTTCATGTCGGCTGTGGGACAATAACTATCTTGGATGGGTATATCCTCCATCTAGCGACTGCGGTCTGAGTCATAGAACATCCGTGTGGATATCGAGAAAGTCGCCATATGCTTCCTTGGACCGCTTTGCACAGGGGACGTCCCACACTTCAAACGAAGTTCTTGCAAGCCAGCATCAATGTCCTTCTTCGCTTCGCTTACGTAGTTTCATCGCCTTCGGTTCGTTGCGCGCTGGGGCCGGGTTGCAGTGGTACAATATTGCCCGAGAGATTCCCTCCGAAAATCTGAGTTTTCAGAGCGAGGAGGTTTGCGACCTCATCTCTCGGGCCGTGTGGCAAATCGGATGTCTTTCTGATGATGGTGTTTGGGAGCACCACCAAGTTCTACGAGAGGTGCCATTCGGTAATGCGCTATTGGATGTCCTTGAACAATTGGGGACAGATATAGAGGGGGACTGGCGCCAGGGTATCACAGCACTGACCATCACTACGCTAGCTTCTCGACTGCTGGCCTCGGCTGTGGCACCATCGATCATCAACAAAACGTATAAGCTGCTTAGAAAGATACGAGATACCACTCAGCGCTGGTTGCATGAACTTATGGCACTTGAATCCCACGCCGAAACCGAAGCTGAACGGGAAAAATATCAAGGAGCAATATGTCCTTTGGCCGCGATTTGTAGGAGCTCATTTGATGTCGATGCCCACCATGCTGGGTCACTCCTTCGAACTCCAGGAGATGTCGCCATATTCATCGAATGTGCTATCATTCTTTATAGCCACTCTCCCCAAGAAACCCTTACTGACGCCGAACCTCATTTACGTCGGTTACTCCTCCGAGACAAGCGCCTGTCCTGCAGCATGGAAGAACTTCTTATTACTCTCATCCAAGAAAAAGGAATCATGCTAGGTGTCAACAAAGGAATATCAAGTGTTTGGAATGCCATCGATCCGACATGTTTCTGGACAAGGTTACCAAAACCTAACGATCGTTGGTTGACCACCACCGTAAATGGTCAAAGGACCCAAAATGTTCATTTCAACGTATTAAGTGGCGCTTTGCTCATTGATGGAAAACCACCTGGTCGATTGCCATCTGACATCCGTGGGCATTCGATATATAAGGAACTCTTTGGTGCAGTGCGGGACTATTCTTCATCTACAATAGGGCCCGCCGATTCACGGTCCATTTTCAGAGAAACCCAGATGCTGTTCCATCGGATATTGAAGACATGGACTATGTTACCAAAGCCCATATATCCTACAACTCTCAACTCAAGACCAAAGATGTGGATGAGGTCGGTTGAAGGAGACGAAGGAAACGGGCTTCACTGATGCTCAACATTAAACAGCCAATTCACTTTGGGTGGCGAGATGGAAGACTCATTCTACGAAGCAGAAGCCCTACGCTCGACGGGAATAGCTATCGGATCCTGGAATTGTTACCACGTGAAATATTTCAAGGTGATCTCCCGTCTACTTTAGTCGACGATTATTTTCATTGGATGGAGCTATCGACTTGTCAAATTGAGCTGCGGCCTAAGAAGACACCCTGGACAACCTCCCGATCGAACTGGCACCTCCGTCGTACTGCATGCTCCACGTGGGTCATGGACCAAGGGTCCTCTGTCAGACTAGTTGACTGTCAAAGCCACACAGGGGAGATGATTTGTGCCATGCTTCGTCCACTTGAACCTGAAAATAACATTCTTATCACAACGGCAAGGTCGTCGATTCAAGAACTGCGCGTCGATCTTCCCCGGTTCCAGCTCTCCTTCACCCTGAAAGGTGGAAAGCTCCATTCATTAAACTTTCCGGGTTTCGAAGTAGACAGTAACCAATCAACAGGCACAATGCTGGGCCTCCGCAGTCAGCTGGTTTTGCGTTGCAGCGGAGATCTCGCTCCTGGTCTGGAGCTTAACTATTCGAGGCGCGTAATAATCCCGGCTGGGGAAGTATCCATTGCAAATGACGGTGAGCACGTCACTGTTACGATTGATAACCCGAGATCATCACGCGTCAAATATTGCGATTATGACGTTGATGTCTTACTGGGTCGTCTGGTTGGAGATGGGAGCTTGTTCAGCACATTATTCCAGGCAATTCTTCATGCCGTTACTAGTTACTGCTTGCCCGATCCTCTCACGTCATTGTCAGGAGTTGAGGAAGCAATCCAAATCCTTCGATCAGCACGTTGCAAATCGTTCCAAAGCCTTGGTGACCAGGAGCGGCAGCTTCTGCGCCAGTTATCGGCATTAACGCCCTCAAGCGACCGGACGTGGGAAGGAGCGCATCGAATTGCCTGGAATAAAGCACTTAGTCCGCTTATCCAACACGATGCTTTCCGGGTTGAAACTCGATCTATTTTGGCATGGAATGACCAAATGCGGGTCTTTGATCCTTCCATACCAATCAGAAACTTGACAAGGAATGGTGGGGAAGACCCTTATCTTTCCCGTGCCGGATGTCGCAATGCAATCTGGTACGGCTCTGATCTTCCATGGGGCATGCGGGGTGTAGACGAGACATATGAATCTAGGGATGCTGGCAAAGGGCTCGATACTGCCCGTATTCGTGCTGCATCGAATGTCACTAGTTTGGTATACCATTGTCCTCGTCGGCTAAAAACCCCCAAAGATCTTTTGTCTCGCGTTGAATCGTGGACGAGGGAGATCAGAGGTTCATCCCCCAATGACTTGTCGGATATGCGTTTGGGATTCAGCAAGGAATGGCTGTCGCTGAACATGCCAGACAAATGGATATCTTTGTACAATGCGTGTCGAACAGAGGGATGGGGAAACCGTACTCGTTTCAAAATGTTGTTTAGTCTTCCAGCACTGGGCTACTCTAATCCTTCATGCGGGGATTTGGTCCCTGCCTTACTTGCATTCACACGCTACCCCGAGTTCCGTTCCATTGATCCGCCACCGTGGCCTCGATACAATTTCACCATGGGTTATAAACCTGATGCGTCCGAACTCGATAATGCCATCACGGCATTGATTGAAGACGCCCCACGAGATTCCCGACCATATTCTCAAGTTCCTTTTCTTGTCAAAAATTTTATCGCTCAATGGGATCATAAACCTACAAGAGTGCCAACATTACCAAGTCCGCCAGATGGCGATGTGTGGCTGATCAACACTTCTCAGACGATGACCGAGGTGACTAGCTTGTTTGAATCGTGGTTCAGAAACCGGGAATTACGCCAGCACATTCGGGCAGTCCAAACGGTATTGGACAAACACCGGACTTGGACTTCAGATGCTCCGGTTCTACCGATATATTCGTTCAAGACCTCCTTGCAACTTTCAGAAGTGAAACCGTCCATTGTATCGTACAGTGACGTCTTTCTCCGACAACCTCCGATTCTTGCGCGTACACCTTCCCCTCTGAAAACGAAAAGATGGTTGACGATCAAATCGTCTTCGGAACGCAATAATATCAAAGCTCTCGTTTCAACTCTTCGTTCATCCCACGATCCGATATCCCAGAAATATGGGGCTGATCTCGAGGCTAGTCGCAATGCATTGCATCATGACATACAAACCAGCGTGGAGCAGGTGGAATCCCTCCAAGAAGAGCTTCATGGCGATCACCAGATGTACCGATCTCATCTCTCTCATGTGTTGGGGCAAATCGGACGGGCACTCAATCCAGATCCTCAGTCAGAGCGAATACAGGAGGTTATGCGAGTTGCAGGACTATGGCCGAAGAGCACCACTCGTTCTTTGCTGCACCACCTATCATTCTCATCCCGTTCAAAAGTTAAATTATCCCCCGAATGGAAGAATGTCCTCATTTGCCTTGCCCAGTCCATACTGCTTTGGCAGCGGTCGGAGAGATTGGTGAGATTAGGACCCAAAACCGATGAATTTCTGAAGGAATGTTCAAGTCATCCTGATTTGAATGACATTTCTGACGACTGGCTACTCGTCCAGGTGAGCGTGTCGTTTGTCAGAACGGACGACGGAATTGACTCTCCGAGATTCTCAGATTGACTCCAATTTTCTTGCACGCTCTCTCCAGGTTGATGTTGCGCGTAACATGATGTTTCCTCGATCACAGGATAACACCATCCTTCAACTCAATATGGGGGAGGGAAAATCGTCCGTTATTGTTCCGCTTATTGCCATATCTCTAGCAGATGGACAAAAACTAGTCAGAGTCATCGTGCCAAAGCCCTTAGCAAATCAAACGTTCCAGTCACTGGTCCGACGCTTGAGTGGTTTGGCGAACCGGCAGATATATTGCATGCCGTTCTTCCGTGCAATCGCCACGGAGCCGCATCATCTTCACCTATTTCAAAGGATTTATCATGAGTGTATGGATGCCGGTGGCATACTGGTTATGCAACCTGAACATGTCCTGTCGTTCAAACTCACGGGCATTGAACGACGGCTTTCAACGTCCAGGACTTCAAGTGCACTGCTAGGGTTACAGCGATGGCTGGACGCAAACGTTAGGGACATTTTGGATGAGAGTGACGAGATTCTGGCGGTCAAGTGTCAACTTGTGTACACAGTTGGCACTCAGCAGCCCCTAGGTCCTCAGCCTGTCAGATGGACTACGGTGCAGCATGTATTTTCCATCCTGCGTAGTAGCGGCCGGCTTCTTCATCAACTGGCTTCTGAAGGGGGTCTCGAGCTCGAGCAACGAGACGGGTGCTTCCCTCGTCTTCGCATTCTCAGACATGAAGCTGGCGTTCAAATTTTGAAATCTCTTTTACGTGGAATAACGCAAGGAGAGTCTCCTGATCTACCTCCGTTCAGGCTATTTCATGGAGGAGTGCGACGAGAAGCAGAGGCTTTCATTGCCCAGAGGAATCCCGGAAAACTTGATGAATTGCGAAATCACTGCCGCAGTGACAACGATCTGTGGAGCGTTTTGCTCCTGCTGAGAGGCCTTTTTGCACATGGGATACTTATGTACATTCTGAGTGGACGTAGGTGGCGAGTAGACTATGGACTTGACCTAACACGGTCACTTCTCGCAGTGCCCTATCGTGCAAAAGATGTGCCTGCACTGAGAGCAGAGTTCAGTCACCCGGACGTCTGCATATCGCTGACATACCTCAGCTACTACTATGGCGGATTGTCTTACGATCAGCTTGATATGTGCTTCGAGCATATCAACGAACTAGAAGATCCTGTAGCGGAATACCGCAAGTGGATTAAGGATAATTGCTTAGTGCCAGACTTTCTCCGCAATTACAATAGTTTCAACCCAGATGACCGCGAACAAAAGATCCGGCATCTCTATCCAGCTTTCGAAAGGAACCCATCGACGATCAACTTCTTCCTCTGTCAGGTGGTTTTTCCGAAAGAAGCCAAGACATTTCCTCAAAAACTCTCCACATCGGGTTGGGACATCGCCGAACGAAGGCAACACGTAACGACGGGGTTTAGTGGCACTAATGACAACCGCTATCTTCTCCCTACTTCTATTCAACAGGATGACATCCCTGCGCAATTGGGTACAAATGCTAAGGTGTTGGATTTGATGCTGCAGCCTGAGAATGATCACTACCAAAGTGTGGCCAGCAGCAAGTTTCTGGACGTCGTCGTCAGGGAAACTCCTCAAATCCGAGTTTTGTTGGATGTGGGTGCTCAGATGTTGGAGTACTCCAATAAGGAATTGGCATCGATATGGCTTTCGCGAGTCTCGGCAGTAGATATAGATGCTACAATCTTCTTCTCCGAAGACGACGAAATCCTCGTTATCAGACGTGATGGGGCAACGGAACCGTTCATCTCATCGTCGTGCAGACACCAGCTTGATCGTTGTCTCGTGTACCTGGACGATTCCCACACAAGAGGCACCGACTTGAAGTTGCCCACCGAATATCGTGCCGCAGTTACTTTGGGTCCGAAAGTGACAAAGGATAGACTAGTCCAAGGTGAGCCTTCCTATTCCTATTAGGATATGGTCGAATCAGCAGGTATGTCTTCAGGATGTATGCGAATGCGCAGGCTGGGTGAGGGACAATCTGTCTTATTTCTCGCTCCTCCCGATGTGGATCGCAAAATCCGTAAGTTCTCGAAAAAGATTCATGGAGAACGAATCGGTGTATACGACGTTCTTTCCTGGTCCATCAGGGAGACATGTGCCAGCCTACGGCGTTATAGTTGTGATTGGAGAGTGCAAGGCATTCATTACATCGACAGGCAATGCGCATGGAAAGCGTTTTGGACATCCTACATCCGCCGCTCCTCAGTGTTAGCAAAATATTGGTTGAGACCTGAGTTGAAGCCTCTCGAGGAAATGTATGGGGTAACATCGTCTTCCGTGTCATTGGAACAGGAATCATTTCATCCGGCAGCTGATTGTCGTGAGATCAAGCAGAGGAGTGAGGTTTTCTCATCCTCCACAGAGAGTTGGCTGGTGAGAATGGCAGAAGAGCAGGAGCGCGAAGTAACCCACGAGCCTGAGCGCACGCTGGAGGACGAAGAGTCGCCACCACCTTTACGGCCTGCCCGCCATCACCTCCATCCTGATGTCGTATCATTCGTGCGCGATGGTCAAATCCCACTGTCTTCCCGTGCTTTTATCTCGCTCTTTTCTTCAGTCACAATCCTCCCTCGGTCTCAGCAAGACACCAAGTGGTCACGCAACCTTCTTGCAACCAGCGACTTCGTCACCACGATCAAGGGTTCGAATGCACGGAAAGGCAACGAGTTTCTTCGGCCTGTGAACTGGATCCTGTCTAGTATTCACGGATCAACGCTCGTGGTGTGCAGTCCTTTTGAGGTGAATGAGTTGCTCCCGCAAATTCGCCGCAGCTGTAACATCACGTTGCACGTGTACTCTCCAAGAACAAGTCAGCCGATGAGGTCCTTCGATGATCTCAAATTCCACACAATTCCGTCTTTACCGACGACGTGGGCTTACCCAGAGAGGCTCACAGTCTCGCAGCTCAATATATTCTCAGGCCAGTTATACATCAACGACTTCGAAACGTATCTTGAACTTTGCAATTTTTTGGGAATCAACACCAGTCATGATGGGAGGAACGAAGTAGAAACACAAAGTGATGGTTTTGTCCTACCCAAGAGGCGTACTGTGGAAATGAGTTTGGTCTGCCCTTTTGATATTAGTCCTCTGCCTTTCATCCACAGGCTAACGAGTCTCCGGAGGAAGGGTGAGTTCCATCTGATTCTGACAGCCCGAAGTACCCATGCTAACATGCCACGCTAAGGAATGTCCTATGCCTCTACTCATCTTGGGCGAATTGTTAATGGAGCATTCATACAGCCAGAGGAGTTTTGACGGAATATGCACCATTGCTGATCATGTATATAATTGTCCAACTTGCAAATTCGCAGCTAGGCGTAAGTATATCAGGCCGGAGGTACTCACTTCAACACTGTAATGCTCATTCTCCCGCAGTAGTGAGAAGCGGGTAAGTACCATTAAATGAGCTTGCGTCATGAGACCATGTTGGAGCATCCCAGCCAGCTGAGTTGCTCATCTGATCGGTCCAGTCTCACTGTCACACGCAGACTGTATATGATATCCTTCATGGTCGTGGCTGACATCATAGCGATGACTATCTCAGCGTGTCTGCCTCCATAACACACATACCGATTGGGGAAGTGTGAAACTGTGAGACAGTACAGCACCGGATCTTTCACCGCTCGAGCATTGGCTACGTGTTCATCGAAGCGCTTGCATCTGCCTCGGAGGCATCACCTCACCTAGTTTACTTCATCGATGTTTCGAAGTGGGAAATTCCTAGCTCTGGTTCCCAAGTTATTTCTGCTGCCTCGGGATGGTCAACGCTCGCCACTCTTATGAGTGGCGCCTGGAGATAGAAGGCATTCGTTGGTCCGAGGATGGCTAGAAGAGCGATGTGGCATCTTGAGAGTGATGTGTCACAGGAAATGAATCGGCAAGGTTAGGCGCACTTGTAGCTTACTGGTGAGTCGTAATTGGGAGCAAGCTTACAACCCAAGATTTTGCCAAAATATGAAAGATTGGGTACAATTATTGGTGAGTTGACGTTCGCAATCCTAAAATGCTTCGCTGAATGAGAAGGTAGTTGCGGAAAGTGTGTGGCTTGACATGGGTAGGAGAGTGGGTTTAGCCATCAATCATGGTAGACATCATTGGTCTCGAATTCTTCATCCTCGGTTGATCGGAGAAAAAAGATTAGATAATCGATTGCAGTGATCATGTAAGGAACCTCAAGATCGGCTGTCGCCAATGGCTAAGTCCTTAAGGATTAACGAACTCACTAGGTCACTGAGAGAGTCGAGTAAATACAAGAGGTTCTGTCGAACTTTAGACGGGTATATATATATCCATCAGACCGCTTATGTAAGCACGCCGCTTACAGATCACGAGCGTTTTTGTAGACTTGACTTGGACTTGACAAGACCCTGGGCTTCGAGGAATATAATTCGATCTATATGGGCCCCTTGACCAAGCGAAAGGTATCCTCAGGCTGACAGAGGGCACCAAGAAATCACGCACCATCGACAAAGGGACCGGCGACACGCCGCACCACTGAGAGCGCAACCGAACTGGAGCGCACGAAGGAGATCGATGGAGGTTTATAAACACTGCAGACCCATATATTCGCCGAGCACAACCCCGATGCCACAAACCAGAGGATTCCGTCACCCCGGCCACACCAACCGGTCACCCTTATCATGTACGTACACATATTAATTTGTCGATCTCCTCAGGCCCATGTACATTCAGTTGTACTGGTATTCCGAGATAACCGCATTGCCACGCATCAACAAAATTTAAATAGAGTTCAACAACAACCCATTGCCAAGTTTGCAACAAACATGTTGCAGGCGCAATTCATTACGCACACGCGGCTCTTCTTCTCTACCAACCAGCCTCAACGCCTGCCCTCGTACATCTCCATCACTTCCTAGCGCCCCATCAGTCCCGTCGCGTTTCACCGAGATAACAGTTCAATTGAAGAGAATTCCAGATCTTTAGAACGATTACTGCTGTGCGTTAGTGCTTTAGTCACCTTCGACTCACGATCCGGACATGGACACTCCCGGGCACCATAGTGGGGATCTCATTGGTGGCGTTGACCGTGAGTGATGTTCATGGCACTTCCAATCCTCATGTTCAGGCGTTCTTACTGAAATTGATATCCACGTTACCAGCGTCTGATCAGCGCGCACCGGATGAAGAGTACATCAGTGACACGGATAGCGATGCTACCATCAGACCTCTGTCGCTTGGACAGGACTCGGTAGACGACTTCCTTTACGACGTAAGGTCAATGTGCAGTGTTCGGTCTTTAATTGACTTAGCTTTAATAGCTTGATGAAGGCACCGAGCCTTCACTCGGGCCCGTTGCGTCTGAGGACACATCTTCTGTGATGGCGCCATCATTCAACGGCCGACTGAGCAGGTGGCTTTCCCGGACAACCGCCACTTTTTCTGATGCCTCATCCATCATTACATCGGCCATTCATTCCCATTCGAGTCACATCACTAACACAACAGCTTTTGCGTCGGCAGGTTCATTTTACTCTAAACATTTGGACTGTCCTCGGCCGTATAGGACGTATTCCGTCCAAGAACTCTGCGCAAGCTTGCTCAAGAGTAATCATGTGGATGATGCTAAGATTGTGTCGGTTGAGCGTTATGGTGATCTGGAGGGAGTACCGCATCGATTTCTTATCCTTCACATTGTTCGGAGGGCGGACGAGAGGGACTTTTACCTCCGCCTGGACCGTCGACGAGACCATACCGTCCCATTACTGACATTCGCAACGCGGGACCGGGGTAGGTCAGCTGCGGTCGACACCGTAAGTGGTGAGGTCTGCACTGCCTGTACTGCAACTGAAGCACGGTATCGAACAGGCTGCCCTCTCTGGGCAACGTGAACACCTTTTAGATTACACAAACACGGAATCTGGTGAGGAGGCCATCATGGATTTCCTGATCCCAGCCCCCTTAACCGCAGTTGTGCGGATTCTGGACGCTATTGCGAAAGAGTCTCCCGCATACAATCTAAGGAATGTGAGCCCCAGAGTCTGACCTTGTTTCATCACATCCTGACCTACGAGCCTCGCGTAGGAAAACTGCTGGTTCTTTGTTTCCACTGTTCAGGAAATGTTGGTGCTGGGGTTCGGGGCCCAGTATCAGAGGGGATCACTCAACCATCCAAACATTGGGTCGGATCGCCGAAAACCCATTAGGCGTTTGACGTATTCTCGTATTGCAGATGAAATTAAATCTAGATCGAAGACCATTATGAAATTTACTGCATTAGTGGCAGATTCAAAGTTAACGGGGGTTGTCGGGTCTGTCTTGAATGCTATACAAGACCGCTGGGTGCGAACTCCCTTGTCAAATGTATGTTTCCACTGACCCGAATTGAGCCAGAAGTCAGTCAGTGACATTTCCTCACCTGATGCACCTCAAATCGCTTCATCCACGCGGGAATTGCTTATTACGCTACACCAAACACTGCATGAGCATCTGCATGCATGCTATGGGGTTCGAGGGGCACGGGTGATCTCAAGTAGTTTCTCAGTGTCAGTGAATCAGTTGAATATCCATTATGATCCACACGTCTTACCCAACAGCTTGTAATATTGCTAGGGAATTGCTTCAAGTATTTCAAGCATGGGAGCGGAGCCATCCGACATCCTCGAGACGTGCAGCTGCCAGGGTGGATGGGATGATTTCTCTGACAACCAGCGTTACCAACCTTGTAAAATCATCAGCACGTATATCCTGCCAATGCAACAGTCAATCACCTAATCTCTTCACCAGCTGCGAGGGGATCGTCCAATGAACCGATATTCTTCAATTACCTATGATCCGATTGGCGACGACCTCAGTTCGTTTTCCAACCCCCTACCAACACTATTACGCCAAGTTGTACTATCAGTGCGGACAGAAATCGATACTGGATCGGAGTCGATTCTCAAACTTACCACATTGATTGGAGATCCAAGGGTATCAGGGGCCGTCGAGTCTGTCCTGAATGCTTTAAAAAAGTGTTATGTACGAGAATATTCTCATTATCGAATGTGTATCAACACTAATCTCGATTGAGCTAGAAGTCGGTCGATCACATTTTTGGCGCGCCTGATGCCCCTCAAATCCTTTCGTCCACGCGAGGATTGCTTACCGCGCTCCACCAGGCATTGCACGAACACCTGCACGCGTGTCATGGGGTTCAAAGAGCACGGATAATTTCGAGTAGTTTCTTTGAGTTAGTGAACTAGCTGAAGCAGTTGCTGTAAACTGCAGTTCTTGATATTATGTTTCTAGAGAGTTGCCTAAGGTGTTTATGTCATGGGGACAGGTTGTTCAGACATCTTCACAAAATGCAGTGTCCAGTGTGGAAGGGATATCCACTCTGGCAAGCAGTATCACCAACCTCTTACAGTCTTCGGCACGTGTATCCTGCCAACTGCGGCAGTCAATCGTCTAATCTTTTCACCAGCTGAAAGGGAATCCTAATCGAAATTCTTCGATTACCTATGACCCAATCGGCAATGACCCCGGTTTATTTTCTAAGCCCCTTCCAAAACTAATACACAAGGTTATACAATCAGTGCGGAACGAAATCGATACTAGCTCGGAGTCGATCTTGAAACTTATTACGTTGATTGGAGATTCAAAGATAGCAGGGACCGTTGAGTCTGTCCTGGATGCTATGAAAAACTGCTATGTACGAGAACATTTCCTTTGTCGGATGTGCATCGTCATTAAATACGACTGAGCCAGGAGCTGGCTGATCACATTTTTTGTGCACCGGACGCGCCTCAAATCCTTTCATCCACGCGGGGATTGCTTTCTACACTGCACCGAGCACTACACGAGCATCTGCATGCCTGTCGTGGGATTCAGGGAGCACGGAACATCTCGAGCAGATTCCCCGAGTCAGTTAATCAGCTAAACATTTGTTGTGAACCGCAGTTCCTGCCCAACTGCTGCTAATATGCTCTGTTTCTAGTGAGCTGCCTCGGATATTTCTATCACGGGAATGGAGCATTGAGACATCTTCGCATGTCACAGCGTCGCGTGTGGATAGGATGATCACTCTGATGACAAGTGTCACCGACCTTTTAGAATCGTCGGCACGTATATCCTGTCAAAGGTAGTGGCCAATGTCCCAATTGATTTTTTCACAGCTGAAAGGGGATCCTCCGGGCCAACAATCTTCAACTGCCTATGATCCAATCGGCAGCGACCCCCGTTCATTCTCCAAGCAACTTCCAACACTGATACGCGAAGTTGTTCTATCGATGCCAAATGAAATTGCTTCTAAATCAGAGTCGATTTTGAAACTTACCCCATTGATTGGAGATTCAAGGGTAACAGGAGCCGCTAAGTCTGTCCTGAATGCTATAAAGGATTGTTATGTACGAGGATGTTTCCTTTGTCAAACATGCATCATGACTAATCCCGATTGAGCCAGAAGTTGGCCGATCACATCTTTTGCGCGCCTGGTGCACTTCAAATCCTTTCATCCACACGGAGATTGCTTTCTACGCTGCACCAGGCACTACATGAGCACCTTCATGCCTGCTATGGGATTCAAGGAGCACGGATAATCTCGAGTAATTTCTCCGAGTCAGTGAATCAGCCAAACGTTCACTGCGTAATTCTTGTGTAACTGCTACTAATATACTGCGTTGCCAGAGAGCTGCCTCGGATCTTTCTGTCATGGCGGCAGCGTGTTCAAACGTCTCCGCTGAGCACAACGTCCCGTGTGGAAGGGATGGCAATCCGAATAACAAGCATCACCACCCTCCTAGAATCATCAGTATGTATATTCTGCCGCTGTGACGGCCAATTGCCCAATAGATTTTTTCACTAGCTGCAGGGGAATCCTCCAGTGAACCAAGAACCTTCAATTACCTATGACCCAATTGGAGACAACCCCAGTTCATTTTCCAAGCCTTTTCCCATACTGATACACAAGGTTGTGCTATCGGTGCTGAATGAAATCGATTCCGGATCAGAATCGATTTCGCAATTTACTGCGTTGATTGAAGATTCAAGGATTTCGAGGGCCGTCGAGTCTGTCCTGAACGCTATAAAAATATGTTATGTACGAGATTCCTTTCCTTCGTCTAGTCTGTCTCGTCACTGATTTTGATCGAGTCAGAAGTCGGCCGATCACATTTTTTGTTCCCCTGATGCACCTCGCATCCTTTCATCAACACGGGAATTGCTTTCTATGTTACGCCAGGCTCTTCACGAGCATTTGCATGCATGTCATGGGTCTCAAGGAGCACGGACGATCTCGAGCAGTTTCTCCAGGTCAGTGAATTGGTTTCACATTTATCATGGCCTGCAGTTCTTGTGCAACTCCTGCACCATACTATGTTTCCAGGGAGTTGCCTCGAATACTTCTCTCATGGGAACGGGGCGTTGAGACATCTTCGCATATGGATGGGATGATCACTCTGATGATAAGTGTCGCCAACCTCTTAGAATCGTCGGCACGTATATCCTGCCAATGTAGTGGTTGATTGCTCAATTGATCTCTTCACCAGCTGAAAGGGGCTTCTCTAGAGCGCCGACATTCTTCAATCATTTACAAACCGATCGACAACGACGCCGGTTCATTCTCCAAACAATTCCCAACACTGATATGCAAGGTTGTGCTATCAATGCCAGATGAAATTAATTCTAAATCAGATTCAATTATGAGACTTACTGCGTTGATGGAAGCTTCGAGGGTAGCAGAGGCCATCGAACCTATCCTGAATGCTATAAAACACTGTTATGTACGAGAATGTTTCTTTTGTCGAACGCGTATCATTCATCTCGATTGAGGCAGAAGTCGGTCGATCATATTCTTTGCGCACCTGATGCGCCTCAAATCCTGTTATCAACACGAAGATTGCTTTCTGTGCTGCACCAAGCATTGCATGAACATCTGCATGCACGTTACGGGATTCGTGGGGCACGGACAATCTCTAATAGCTTCTCCGAGTCAGTGGATCAGCTAAACACTCACTGTGAACCGCGGTTCTCGTGCAACTGCCGCTAACATATTATGTTGCTAGAGAGCTGCCTCAAATACTTTCATCATGGGAACGAAGCGTTCGCACGTCTTTACAGAACGCAAGGTCCCCCATAGATGGGATCACCACTCTCATCACAAGTATTACCAACCTCTTGGAGTCATCGGCACGTATATCATAGCATTACAACGGTCAATTCCCTAATAGATCTCTTCAGCTGAAAGGGGACCCTCCAGTGCGCCGTCATTCCGCAAACACTTATGACCCAATCGGCGACGACCCCAATTCATTTTCCGAGCCCCTTCAGACACTGATGCGCAAGGTTGTATTGTCGGTGCTGAACGAAATTAATTCCAGATCGGAGTCAATTTTGAAACTTACTACATTGATTGCAGATTCAAGAGTATCAGGGGCTGTCGAGACTGTCCTCGATACTATAATAAATTGTTATGTACGAGAACGTTTCCTTCGAATATGCACCACTGCTAACCTCGGTCGAGCCAGAAGTCGGTCGATCATATTCTTTGTGCATCTGATGCAACACAAGTCCTTTCATCCACGCGAGGGTTGCTTTATATGCTGCACCAGACGTTACACGAGCATCTGCGTGCATGTTATGGGGTTCAAGGCGCACGGTTAATCCCGAGTAATTTCTCTGAGTTAGTGAATCAGCTAAACGTTCATTGTGAGCCGTGGTTCTTGTGCCACCGGTGCTGATATGTTATGTTGCTAGAGAGAGCTTCTCATCATGGACGCTGTCTATTCGGACGTCTCCGCACCACTCAGTGTCCAGTGTTAATGGGATGACCACTCTGATAATAAGTATCGCCAGCCACTTAGAATCGTCGGCACGTACATTCTTCCCCTACAAATGTCAATGACCTAATAGATCTCTTCACCAGCTGAAAGGGGATCCTCCGCTGCACCGACGTTCCTCGATGACCTATGATCCAATCGGGGACGACCCAAGTTCACTTCTTCTCAAGCCCCTTCCGGTGCTGGTGCGCAAGGCTATGCTGTCAGAGCTCAAGTCGTTGGTACAGTGTAAGGCGCTGGACGATTTCCCAATGGTGTGGCGATTCCAAATGGATTTTGAAATCCCCGATCTTCGAATTGAATTGGGAAATCTGATGACACCTGAGCTCGAGTTCGCCTGCTGTCACTGGATCAGTCTCCTTCCAAGGTTGGAGTCCCAACGTAGTGAAGTAATTGAGGCATTGTCCTGCTCCGTCCCGGCGCTCTGTCACTGGGTTGCAATGATGGGGATATTGGGGAAAACTGCCAAAGCTTGCCAGGGGCTGAAAGAACTACAACAGTGGCTGGTACGTTGGAACCTGAATGATAGGCTGTGACTCACTTGCCTGGTAGGAATCTGACACGCAAGGCCTGGACCTGAGTTATGTAGCGCGTGATTTGTACCGTTTAGCCACGCAATTCAAGGGTGCCCTCGCAGTTTCATCCCTGTCCATACTTGGTGCCGCCCAATCATTTATTCCATCGAGTAACGCATTGAATGCGGTAATCCCGAGGAATGGGCCAATCGAATGCCGGATTGTTTCCCGTGATGTGGACAGCAACCAATCATGGCCACCGCAGGTACTGAAGATTTGGGCAAGTGGGATCCTCTCGCTGGCATTTTCACCAAATGGCAGTCACCTAGCCTCGACTTCGTTAGATGGTACGTTCCGCATCTGGCATGTAGTAACGGGAGCGGCGCTTCGAGAGCTAGAAGGACACACTGGTGTGGTGCGGTCCGTCACATATTCTTCCGATGGTCGTCATCTGGCCTCGGCCTCTGACGATCGCACCGTCCGTATCTGGAATGCCGCAACCGGAGCACCTCTTCGAGAATTGAAAGGGCACACCGATTGCGTTCTTTGCGTGGCCTTTTCCCCGAATGGCAGTTATCTAGGCTCTGGCTCCAGCGACCACGCCATACGTATCTGGGATGCCTCGACGGGGACGTCTCTCCGAGTGTTGAGGGGACATGCAGATTGGGTTAGGTCTGTAGCATATTCACCCAATGGCCGTCTGCTGGCTTCAGCTTCAAATGACCACACTGTGCGTGTTTGGAACGTGGCGACAGGGGAGAATATTCGAGTACTGGACGGTCATACCAATTGGGTCTTTTCCATTGCATTTTCACCGGACGGCCATTATTTAGCCTCGAATGATGGCAATGCGCATGTTTGGCATGTAGCCACTGGGCAACTTCTTCGAACACTGGAAGGTGGTACGGGTCCAATCCTTTCCGTGAAGTTTTCCTCAGATAACCTTTATCTGACCTCGGTCTCGAGGGACCGCGCCCTCCGCGTTTGGGATATCGGGACAGGAGAGATCCATCGAGATCTCAAGGGGCACACCGATTTCGTCGGATTTGCAGAATTTTCGCCGGATGGTCGACACCTATCCACCGCCTTGAATGATGGCACCGCAGTTGTTTGGTGGGATGCGGCGACAGACGTCCCTAATCGAGGTTTGAAGGGACATGCTGAATTGGTCTTGTCCGTCGAATTTTCTCCCGATGGCCGCCAGTTGGTCTCAGCCTCTCAGGATGCCATCGTGTGTCTCTGGGATATTGCTGACGGGAGTTGCATTGAACAGAGACAGTTCGATCCGGCCTTTGATCTTCGTCAACTTGCATTTTCCGCAGACGGCTCAACGATCTGCGTCGAGGGCCTCAGAGCGAGAAAATATCTAGGCGTCCCAAATCTAGAAGACATATCTCCCCCAGTTTCACCATCGCTCAGCCCATCTGCTCCACCCTCCTTTTACCTTGATCGCCATGCTGTTTGTGTCAGGCGGGGAAATCTCACCCTTCGCGTCTGTTGGCTTCCTGACTACTTTATGCCCAGTTCTCGTATCGCACAATATGGCAATCGTGTTTGCATCGGGGGAGGGGAAGGGATGATTGCATTCATCAATCTGGATGGGCTTGTGCTTCCGGATGTTTAGTGTGTGAGTGCTTCAAAGTCGTGTTCAGTCATGGTGCCTTTACGTATTGAAAGAACGTGTCCTTTCTTGCGGACTACATGACTTTACGTTCTTCATCTGTTGTAAACCTCGAATACGTTGAAAACATTTTGTCGCTGAGTCCGAAGTAATGCGTGCATGCTGCGCAGGTTTGGCGAAGCAAGGCGAGCACGCTAGTCGTGAAGACTGACCATATCCCTGTGCCGCGATAAACAATCTCTATGACATCCAATGGTTCAGACTCAGAGAGCGAAGGACATACCGCTCCGGGGACTAGCCCCGTAATACATCGGTAGAGGACGCCCGCAAGGCGGACGAGGTTATTCCTTCCCATACGATGGTAGAGGATTGTTAATATAGTTGTTGGAATATCAACGCTCATCGACAACAGCCGAGCTGCAGCGAGGATTGGGAAGTTTTTCTTTAACTTAATATCATCGTGGCTGACAACGACCATTGTTTCAGAGTCGCGATACTACGCGCTCCCAATTTTTCTTTTGTCTTATATCGCCAGTTGACACTGGCAATCGCTTTAAGCGATATTGGCGCCAGTCGTATAAGGTACGCTGGACGCCGTAATTTTTCTCTCTCCCTCAGTTCTCCATTACGAGACTGAGGTGATACCATTTCCCTCCTATCTGTGTTTGCGCATAACTCATTGTATTTTCATGTTACAGTTACGCGCGATAGGTGAAATATCTTAATACATTAGAGACTGAGTTACGCGCGATAGCTCCTATTTCATTAATACTAGCATCCCGTAGGCCAGCTGAACATAAAGCTGCGAGACGAAAGTCAACGACACCCAAAAGGCAGGATAAATCTGAAAAGAAATCCGAGACCAATCCTATGGTACGGAACCATACGCACCCAAAGCCTCAATGTTCGTCCCCCCGGCCATCATTCCTCGCGAAACACCTAACCCCATCGGACCACCTGAGGACAGCGGCGATGACGACTTTGACTTATTAAGGCTAGGAAGGTAGGAAGGCTAAACAGGATGAGTTCAAGGAACGAGCTGAGCCTCCTGTTGACCTTACTCAAAAAAGAAAAACACACAACTTCACGAGTAAAAGTCAAGGGTCCTGAGCCTTACAGCAGTGACGTGAACTACGATACATTCGAAGTCTGGCTTGCCGGAATGAAAACCTACTTCGAGTTGAACAAAGTTCGCAAGAAGGACGAAATCAAACACCTCCAAAACATGCTAAGTGGCAAAGCCGCGTCGTGGTATGTATCTGCCGTCGCGTTGAGACCGCGAGGCTGGACCTTGACCTCAGCCGTTAAGGCGCTATTCGACGAATGTGTTCCCCTAGAATTCAGACAGATACAACGTGATCGCTTTGAACGTGGGGGCACAACGGAATTCAACTGTCCAGGAGTATGTCCGGGACATGGATCGTATTAGAAAGAGGATAGATAATATTACAGATCGTCAGTTCGTACAACGGGTGTTCAACTTTTACTGTTGGACTATGGGTTTAGTCCCGACACTGGCTCAATAGATGAGTTAAAGGCCATCGCCATGAATGCGGAACGTGCAAGGAATCATTGGAGTTAATGGAGGGGGGTCAACGGTGTGTGAGTATGGGGTGTACATGTGTACATCGGCAAGAGGTCCATGCCATCGAGCTTTCGTAGTCAGGACCTCTTGCCGATATACACCCCATACTACTCACAACATCGTTGTTCCCCCTTCCATTAACTCCAATGGTGACGGTGGGATCAAACCCAGATTCAAACTCGCCCCGAGTATGACAGTAAAGGAATATGCTGCTATTTGGCCTTGATAAAAGCCGGCAACAACGAGCGAGCCTGGCCCCGAGCCGAAGTACGGGTAGAAATTAACGGCCTCACAAACGTTATTCTAAGCGCCATCGAAAGCCACGCACTACACTCTTCTTTCCCCGAGGCCCAAGCGATCTCAAACTCCGGAGCGGTGATAGGGTGCCACAGAAAGTTACACGCGCCCACGGGCCTCTCCTCCCGGTCGCTGGTACCGTGGTGAGACTTCCTCGCCATGGCTCAGGAAGTCCTTACGAGCGCCGCGTGCGAGGCCGCGGACGTTATAACCAACTATGGAGCCAAGATCCAATATGGAAATATGGAAGGCGGGAGCCGAGCAGTGCTATCTGCCAATTAAAACTTGGAAAAGCTTTGGCATGGTATCTGAGTGCTAGCTGATGGTCCAGGACTCTACCGCCCTCAGCCCAGCAGGAATGGGACTCGATTTCTTACACTGGCCGAATTGTTGGCACTAGCTAGCAGCGACAAAGACGAGAAAACGCCCTAGTAAGGTCCACCCAAAAAGGAAAACGATATGAATGTTCGTCATGATATATAATGACCCAACTCCCAGGCCTGTTTATACGATACACCTATCCAAACCTTAACAAAGAAACTGCAGCGCCGTAAAGCTATGACAATTCTGTTTCGATACTCATATACGGGGCACACAAGGGGTTACATTGTTGAGATCTCAAGCCATGTAGTTAATTCCTGAATCCACATAATGCAACAAGACAGACTGAAGTCGACCCGAGCTCTATCATCTATTTATTGTGCATCAACGACGTGTTTGAGGCGATATAATTTACAGTAAAGAAGAGAAAACCAGAGGCCCATGCAAGCCAACCAATGAGACGTTCAGTTGAGAATCGACAAAAGTTGGTCAACAAGAGAGAGAGGAGAGAATCGGAAACGTGGAAGGGACGATCGTATGAGCAACAGTACTGTCAATGTGTCAAGCTAGGTGTCAATAAATGATCGATCTATAGTTGAAAGATGGAGGAATAAAAAAGAAGCAGCAAGCAATGGTAAGCGTTTGGACACAGAAGAAAGGGATGCAACTTTTCGGCCCCATAGCAGCCAAAAAAAAAAGATTAAGCCACACTCCCAACAGCCTGTGAATGCCCAGCCGGTTCAGGCTGCTTAACCTTGTCAACCTTGACGAGCAACTTGTACCCAACGACGTCACTCCCTTCCAACATCGTAAACCCTCTCTCATTCTTCACGACCTTAAACTTCCTCTTCAACCCCCTCCCTTCCGCCCCTTCGCCAACACCAACACCACCACCACCCGAAAGATCCGCTACATCCTCACCGGTAGCTTCCAACCATTCCAGAACAGGTTTCCTAACCCATCTAGGAGGTGGCCCACCTTTAGCCAACCCCAACCCACTCGCAATCCCCTTCCCACCTTCGAACCATCCCAAATGTCCTCCATAAGGCGTAACCACCTGACAGACGAATTTCCCATCGCGTTCGATCTCCTCTATAGGGTTTTCAGCGACGATGGGATCGTCCTCCGTATTGAACGCCAAGAAGGGGACCATGATCTCGTGTGTCCTCTTATGAGTCGTGGAGCCAGCATAATAGTGATCGGCTGATGCGAACGGGTACTTGGGTGGTGTCCCCCCTATGAATCGCGTGACGTGATGATCGAAATCTTTTAGAGTCGGTGCACGCATGGTGAGGAGGTGTTGAATGTGGGGAGTGGCTTTTGTGGGTGCTAGCTTGGCGAGAGTTTCGAGGTGACCTTGGAGTAGGAAGAGGAGGTTTCCGCCCATTGCTTTGGCGTAGATGTTGCGGTAGAGGAATCGTTTTTCGAGACGGTCACTGTTGAGGTTCAGGTTCCATGGCTGGAAATGGAGAAGAAAATGAAAAGAAATGAGAAGTCGAGTTTTTTTTTTTTTTTTTCGTGGAAGGGTGCGGGGTTAGAAATGGTCACTTACATTTCCCAAAACGCAAACACTCGACAACGCACAGCTAGCGCCCTCTTCCTCAACATACATGGACAATACATTTGCGCCCAACGAGAACCCAACGCCCAACAATGGAGCCTCAGGATACGCTTGACGAAGGTAAAGGATAGTGGATCGGATATCTTCTGTATGGGCTCCTCCATAGAGTTGGGCCGTCGTGAGAGGGACGCCGGCGCCTTGTGACGTTTTTGTTTTTGTTTTTTCGAAAGTGCAAGTTGTGGTATGTGTAGATTAGCGAGCAAGCTCGAATCCCGAACCGAACGAAAAAAGGGAAAAAAAGAAACGAAGTAGAACTCACATCCTCTAAAATTCATCACAACTCCACGATATCCTAATCCTCCTTTCTCCTTGGGTGCAGTTGCGGCAGCGAGAATGTCTCTCACATACGATTCGAACGAACCTAGATAGAAAAGCCCACCAACCCCAAGATTCCATTTCCGTGTGTTTTTTTTTTTTCATTGGTCGAAGATTGAACGATGTAACGAGGGGAAGGGGGAGGGGGGGGGTTAGTTGGGTTGGGTGAATGAATCCATGACCGCCGTTATCGGGAATGAATATCGTAGGATGGATCGATGGAAAAGCGATTAGAGAAGATAAGGGACAAAAATGGAAAGAAGAGAGGAATGTGTGTGTGTGTTGGCGTCAGTTAAAGCAATCTCTCGGATTCATTTAAAAAATAAAATAAATGAAAAGCCATTTTGACGATCATGAAGGTCGTCGGCTAAAAAAAAAGTGAACAACAAAGCGAACGAACGAATGGGGGAAAATGGTTCCAAGAGATGAAAAGAGAGGTGGTGGTTATCGAATACAAAAGTAGCGCGTACCTCCAGAAAGACCATGCAAAACGACGACGATAGGCGTCTTGGGGTCAAGTGGACGTTCGTACGAGGGCGGTGTAAAGTCTAGACCACTGTTTACGATATCGATTGAGAAATGATGACGCGTTGGATGTTTACGAGTTTGTTACAAAGTTGTCACCGGTCGGTCAACAAGAATAGTCAACGTGAGATTGGGGTTTGGTTTTTTTTCCAGTGGGGAAATGACGTACATTGTTCCACCATCTGGAAGCCGTAAGAGTGTCCTGTGAGAAAAAAAAAAAAAGAATCCGAGTGCGAAAGAGGCAAGTGAATAACGCGATAATCCAGGTGGTGGATTGAGGAGCCCCGTCAGTACAGGCGACGTTGAGTTAGTGATGGATGGGGTCGACATACCGCTCGTATTCGACTAGATCTTTCTTGGTAAAGTCACCCACGACGCAATAGATCGTATTGAGATGCCCACTGTATGTTTTAATACGAACGCGCGACGGGGCGAAGAGGTAAAATAAGTCCCCTTTTCAAAGAAAATCTTCACCCCGGAAAGTAGAGTGAGAGTGGGGGGGGGAGAGAATGGACACAACTTACGCCCTAAGCCACCACGTAGGGACATAATCTACCAGCCGTGGAGTGATGTGCAATCGTTAGCGCTCGATAACGACCAAAAAGCACGCAATCACCCAACGACAATCGAACAAAGACTCACCTTTCAGTAAGCTTGGACACCTGGAGAGTACGAACGACCTGATTGATACCGTCTCTATCTCTCTCTTCTTCGACTTTACCCGAACCTCCGCTTCGGCGACATTCCTCTCCCCCTCACCTTCCTTGACACCGCTCTCCTCCAAACTCTTCTTCCACCTATTCGTGACAATGTCTTCTGGATCCCTCTTATAGGCCTTCCAATAAACAGGTCTCCCAGGCGTGTAAACTCTAGGCATGTAATCAGGCTTCGCGCAAAGTCGCTTGAAGAAAGAGATGACGGTCTCCACGAGGAGGACGAGGAGGGTGATAAAGTTGTCCCATGGTGTCGTTACGATCGTTTCGTACTTGCCGCCAGAGGAAAGGTGAGTAGTACTAGTACTAGTAGTAGTGTCAGGATGATCGTAGCCGTTCGTGAACTTGTGAGTCGGGGTAGTCGCCGCGACCATCGCAGCAGCAGCTGTTGACATGAGAGTGAGGGTTTTGATGGCAAGCCCCAGAGGATAGATAGGACTATCAGTGAGTCAAAGGTGGGGGAGAGGACGTGGAGGGTTTAGAGAAAAAAAAGACCATAACTAGTTATTGAGATTGGGGCAGGGGTAAAAAAATTGCTTGGGAAATTCCAATCCAAAAACCCGCCAAACCCTTATTTCAGGCTTTCCAATTCAATTTTTTCCATTCCAACCTTTCCCTGCAAACATTTCACCCCGGTCTCGAATTTCCGGTCATTTACGTATTGGAATTTCCCTGACACGCGGCGCCGCGCTCCGCGTTTCTTTCAGAGCCCAAAAAACCAACCTGGACTTGTCAACAACTTTTAAGCGCCCTTGACACCGCCTAGTCCCGCTTTCATATCAATATCGCTATGTAACGCAACATCTAGATGAAGCCATCAAACACAGCTCTTTCATCTGGTTCAACCCTATAGCAGTTCGGGACTGTACAGCCTGATCGGCCTCCAGGCCTCCGCTCTGCGCAACGAGCAATCGAAATTAATGGCGATCACTCCCCTGTTCTCATACGCACACACACTCCCCTCTCTATACGCATATATATGCATATATAGAGATTCTTATCACAGACCTATCGTTAACCCGCACCCACACGCTGCATCCGTTATCTCTCACAAGGGGTACACCAGAGATAAGCTACCTACTTCTTCCCCTGACCCGGCTGGATGGACAGCGTCAGCGACCACCTCACAACAATCAATCTCGGCGCGATTCTCAGTTGGAAGATCGTAAATGCTATGGCTCCCATACGTACACAATAGCCGGCTTACATGGCATGGCATGATCGTGAGACTCCAATAACAGTAATATCTCTGTGACGCATTCGTTCGATGGGTAAAAACTCTTCGTTCTCACTAATCCCCGTGTACTAGTTACATACGTACACACACTGTGTTGGTGGCTAATTCCCCCAACGAAATATCGCCGTTAGTACTGGTAACCCCGGTATTGCTCAAAAATTACCCATGGGTCCATCGGCCAATCCAGCCTTGACGGCATGGGAGAAATCTCCTATGCTAGCATGATGCAAACGTTGTTACACGGGTGGTGATTAGGTGTTACCTCCTATCCTCTAATTCTAAGTAGCTGTTCGCTAGTATAATACATACTTCATCGAACCTCCTCCGCTCCGGTCGGGAGCACCAACAACTGACGTCTTCTCTCACAATGTGAGAAGTCGTCATTATGCAATACTTAGCAGGCTGCGGTATCGTCATTTTTGACAACTGCGGTTCTAGTACCATGTGCGAGATTTGGAACCCACAAGTACAAGTACTAGCTAGCTTGTACCACATGGTAATCGCGAAAAAGCTCGGGGTGTGGGTGTCGACATTTATGTAAATCCTGATGCACAGTTCGGGTTCTCTAGCTACCCCAGATCATCATCGCGCAGTTGCGCTCGCAGGTTTGACGTTAGGAGAAAAAAAAACCGATCGCGTCGATAGCGCAACTAGCGATGCCTGGAGACTATAATATCGCGGGGAGGCTAACGTATCAGTTGCCCCCACCGACATCTCCCTCTTTTTTGGCGTGGCACTGGTATGAGTGCGCGCTTATAAAGCGTTCAGGCTGCGTGGTGTGCCTAGAGAACTCGGCCACTCGATTCCCTCCCTTCCTACCTTTGGATTCAGCGAACACAGCCCGGGCCGAACTGACAGTCCGTCCCCGCCATATGCATGTTGTATGCACCCCTGAAAATGTTGATCCCTTCCCCCCCCCTCCTCCCTCCTTTTTGTCGTATTGCTCCCCCTGAACTTGAAACGCTGAGCGATTAATTGCATAATCTTGCTCCAACTAAGGCAACAACCCCATTCAGTGCTCTTGCCGAGATTACAACAGGTCCACTAGCCTTCTATGCATGACGTTACCATTCACCTGATTGGAGGGATACTATCCTTTCAACCTCCCTCGCACCTGAGTATCAGCAGACCCGGCGGCTTATCTCTTGACGGCCAATTTCTACCTGCACCACCCACCAAAGCCGTCAAGCGAGAAAAGGTGCTCGTCGAAGAAGATGACTGTCCGCATTCAGACCTATCGTTGCGGGCGCACGGACACCTGGTGGTAATTAGTTGCCCATTGTGGGGAAAACTCAAAGATGACTTGTCGACATGGCTTTCGGTGGTCCAAAAAGGGCCAGCGGGACCGTCAAGTAGTCACTTTAAGCTGGGGTAATTTTTACAACCGCAAAAAGCGCCTCGGAGTCGTGCCATCGTCCCATAGCAGTGTAAAATCGGACAACGTTTAGCCATGCTGCTCTCGAGCGGGTTGTGTGCTGCTGGCGGAACCCACGAGTCGAATGATGACCATCCCTCGAGCCCCACTAGATAACTCTTATATTTTATATCTTATTCGTGCATTTGTTCCTAGCGGTGACAGCTCAACGTATATTATATAAATGTGTCCACGTCAACTGAGAGGGTCACGGATAGGGTGGTCGTCAACCTCATCCCTTAAGTTCCTCTAACGGTACCCATCCCTGCGTATCGTTAATGTTGATCTGACACAAGTGGAGAAAGTGACTTCAGCATCGTGGTGCCTTGGACCGGGACGCAGCGAAATTGTCAATCGTAAAACACTGGGAAAACCGAGTACACATCCATACAAATCTTCCAGGACAGAAAATTAGTAGTAAATATTCTGTTAAAATTCTTCCTCTCGCACAAACGCTCCTCTAACAATTCGCCCGAGATGAGTGGACGTATAGGGCATCCCTTGAACATGTCATGTTATACAGTTGCTCTTCGAACTTGGGGGGGGGGGAGAACTCACCTTTCCTCCGGGCACTTGTTAGCCTGTTAATGAATGGCAGAGGGCTGATATCGAATGGACAGACCAAACTGATCTCCCCAGTGCGGTTTTCAGGTAAGATGAAGCCATCGCTCTGTGTCGCTATCTCGTTGCTTTCGTCATGAGTAGTATTCACTCCCAGAAAATTGCAAAGTTCGAGGTATGTTTGGAAGTCGTTGAGGTATAACTGCCCTGAAAATATGTTGAGCTGCGAAATCGTAAGACTCTCAGGGTGTGGCCAACTCGTTCGTAAAGGAATCGTGTAAAATTTGAGATCATCGAAGGACTTCATCGACTGACTCGTTCTTGGGGAGTACACATGCAGTGTGATGTTGGAGCTGCTGCGAATATCAGGGAGTAACTCATTCGCCTCAAAAGGGCTGCAAACCACGAGCGTCGAGCCGTGGTTACCCGACAGTATCCAGTTGACTGGTCGAAGGAACTCGATGCTGTCCTCCGTGCCCAAACCCTTGATGGTGGTGACGAAGTCTCTGGTTGCAAATAGGTTCCGTGTCCATCTAGTGCTTTGCTGTGAGAGTGGGGTTGGAACCACGACTGAGGAGAAAAGCAAGACAAAAGAAGGGGAATTTTGCCGGATTTGACCGCTCCGCACAAATGAGACGACACTGTCGTCCAGACGATGAACGGCAGGGGGTAAATATCGTGGTCTCTCAATCTGTTGCTCTCGTTCAAGATCAAGCTCTAGCTCGCGCTCTTGTTCTTGTTCTAGTCTTGCTAGCCCACTTTCCCTAGAGAATGAGAATGGACGACTCCTCTCCTCGATTTCTCTGCAGTCAGCTTCCGGGTGGTGGGGTGATTCCTGTCCCAATTTTGCCGAAGGCGAGACGGGTCCATACATTTCCTCTAGAGACTTCGACTCGGGTTGCAACCAATACTTCTTCAGCTCGGAGGTATCACTGGCACCGGATGACCAAAACGTTTCCCATGCGCATCGCCTGTCAGTGTAATGAACGCCCTGCTCTCTCCAGTGATGGCTATAGCGCTGTAGGCTTGCACATGTCTCAGTGATGGACCAAAAAACGACATCGTATGCAGTGATTTGTCCTTCACTCTCCTTGGCAGAGACCCTGTGAATTGCGCGATCCACATCGGGAGGTGCGAAGAATATGACAGATTGCCCCCGCCCCAACTGGCGCATTCGCATACATCCTAAAAACGCACGTTTCCGCGTCGGCTAATACGATTCGATCACAATATTGAAAAGACTCACCCTGAACCAATCGATCCTTTGTCACTTTCGGACCCAATGTAACTGCTGCGCGATAATTAATGGGCAATCTCAAATCAGTGCCTCTCGTATGGGAGTCGTCAAGATACACGAGGCAACGGTCAAGCTGGTATCTGTATGAGGATGAAATAAATCGTTCCGTTTCTCCGTCGCGCTTGATAACGTGGATCTCGTCATCATCAGAGAAGAAGATCGCAGCATCTGCATCTGCCTCTGAGATTCGCGAAAGCCACATCGATGCCAGTTCCTTATTGGAGTACTGCAAAACTTGAGCGCCTACATCTAACAGAACTCGGATTTGAGGAGTTTCCTCAACGATGAGGTCCAGAAATTTGCTGCTGTCTGCAGTTCGGTAATGATTGTTCTCCGGTCGGAAGATAAGATCCAACACCTCCACATTCGTGCTTGATTGCGCGGGGATATCATCTTGCGTAATAGAAGTGGGGAGGAGGTCGCGATTGTCATTCGTCCCACTGAACCCTGTGGTTACATGTTGTCTCCGTTCGGCGATGTCCCAACCAGATGTGGAAAGTTTTTGCGGGAACGTTTTGGCCTCCCTTGGAAAAACAACATGAGAGAGGAAGAAGTTTATTGTCGCCTGGTTTCTCTCAAAAGCTGGATAGAGATGGTCTATTTTTTGTCTGTGATCATCTGGATTGAAACTGCTGTAATCCCGGAACTGAGGCAC